GAAGGCTGGGAGATAACCGACGAGGTTATACGGGATGTTAGACTCATCATAACATCTCTTTATAACAAACCAGCCTTCAAATCTTTGGATGTATTACGAGAACACCTGTTTGCAGGATCCAAAAATGACATCAGAACGTTACCACCAACTGAAGATGCATTTTTGCATCATGCAAGCAGGGGTTTATATCAATTATACATTTCAAAAAATGCAGACAAGCCTCTTTTTGAGATCCCAGAACCGTGGAATGGATTTGGACGTCAAGTGGTTGATGGTACTCTTCAGACCATTAAAATGACCAAAAAACCAAAACCTGATATGACAAAAATCCCAAAGTCAAATTGCGCGTGCAAACGATACAAGGGTAAAGCATTATGTTTAACCACTTGCCCATGTGCCACTGCAGGTACAGAATGTTTAGCTGCATGTTCATGCGGCTCAAAGGAAAGTGAGTGTGGAAGGGAATAAGTGGATTAACCAAAAGAGATATGAAATTTTCACTGCACCAAATATCTCCAAACTAGAATATCACATCAGTCCTAACAATTGACAGTGACTATGAATATGGTTCAATACAAGTCTGAATTTGTGGTAATTTATGGTAACCTTTTTAAGAATTATTCTGAAACACTGCAAGTTACTATTATTGAGAGAGGATATATTGTCAAAGTTATAACTTCATGTTAAGTCAGTTTAAGTATAGAACCACTTTGCCTCATAATGATTTTCATGACTGTTTAAAGGTTAAATTATGCAAAATAGTTTGTTTTTATATTGAAATATAGCATTGTCCCCACCTAACATTTCTTGATGCGATTTCTAAGTTTTATCTTATACGATTTCAAAGTTAAAAATTAAAGTTTATTTTCATTAACCCCCCCCCCCCCTTCTCAAAATATTGGAGTAGGGTGTAAGATTCTTTTTGCTATCATTATACAAGATACTCTTTTTATATTGTGCATACCCCATGAAAATATATTTCTTGCAATTATCTCATAAGTTATAACTTCATAGGAAGTCAATTACAGTAAATGTCGTATATTATCACTTTGTCATTTAACAGTTTTATAACTGTTTAAGGGTTAAATTGTGCAAATTAGCTTATTTGCATATCAAAATAACTTTTCTAAATTACTGATGTTATTTTGGTGAAAAAATTATACTTGTATCTTATATGGTTCCAAACTTACGAAATAAGTTCATGTTAATTTGACCCCCCCCCCCGAATATCTGGGTTGGGGATTAATTTTTTTCACAATCGTTATGTAAGTTACACTTTTTATATTTTGCACATCTGTTATACATATATGAATGCATTTTTAGGAATTATTTCATAAGTTATAACATCATATGAAGGCAATTACAGTAAAAATTATGCATCATCACTCCGCCATTTAACCGTTTTTATGGCGGTTTAAGGGTTAAATTATGCAAATTAGCTTTTTTTGTTTCAAAATATTTTTTTCCCCATTACTGATGTCATTTTATAAATTTTGGTGAAAAAATGAAGTTGGTACTTTATATACTTCCGAAGTTATATATTAAAGTTTATTTTCCTTCTGACCCCCCTAAAATAATAGGGTGGGGGTATAAAGATGAGGATATCTAATTTTCGCAAGTCTCAAACACTAGATATCACCCCCTATCACAAAAATAACTTATTTTCCAACAAGAAAATGAAAAAATCTCGCGTAATACTCTCCAATATTCAATACCCAAAATATTCAGCCTGGGTCCCTGAGTAGGCTATTGACGTGCAATAATAAAAACGTGATCAACTGCAGGGTTGGGTATAAAATTGAACTTGACGGGAAGCATGATTTCTTTAGAATGGAGTTCTTGTGAGACAGTTTTTCCATGACATTAGAAGGAACAATCAATACACCGGACATTAAATCGTTAAAAACCAAACTAGACGTTGACGTGCAAAATTCAAAACGCGTGCTATTGGATATAAAAACAACCGCAATTCAACGTGCAATAATAAAAACGTGATCAACTGCAGGGTTGGGTATAAAATTGACATTTGACGAAAAGCATGATTTCTCCATATGAGAGTTCTTTGGAGATAACCTTTTTCCATGGCATTATAAGAAATACCTCCCGAGAGAATAAAGCGATGACTTGCAGTAAAATACAAACTTGCAGTATTCTGTCAGATTGTAATCGACGCGTGAGGCATGTAAAGATTTGCAATAAGGCGAACAGATTTATCATTTACTGCAATATTATGAACTATTTTCGGTATTATTAATTAAATCATATTTATTGAGATGTGACAAACTATTTTCACATAGATTTTATTCCATTACGATTTCAACGCATTCATTAAACCTCGAAGCAAACGTTAATACTTATGCGCAGTTGTAGAAACCATTTTTAGTCTCTCAGTCTCAGCCACAGTGTATCAAGTCTTGGGCTTAAAATTCACTCATTGCAAAATATTTTCAACGGAATCACCTACGAGATTCGACATCACTAAAAGAACATATTTTCAGAAAGACTTTTTGCAATGGTCAAGTTGGCAAAGCATCAATTTCAATCTGTAAAGTCAAGTTGTCACCTTGACAACCATTTAACGAATGACCTTGGGTGAGTTATTGGTTATATAATGCAGTACAGTTATATGGAATACTGTGTTCGATTTGGTTGGAATTAGACACTTTGGTCTAGCTATGTATGAATAGTTATTAAAGGTCTCATATCACCCTTGGTATACGCAGCTAACGAAAATTGACCGGTACGGGTCAAAAGCTGGACCGGTACGGGTTAACGGTTTTATTTGAATTTAAAACAGCCATAACTTGCTCAATATTGACTTCCTCGTGTCTAATTTGAAATATATGATACCTCCCGATGCTTTTAAGTGCCCCAATTTTTTACAGATTTTTAAACGGACCAAAACTCTCTAAATGCGCATTTATGCTCTTTTCTCTCGAGAACGACTGTCTCATTTTCACGATAACTTTTATTTAGTTCTTCTAACATATAAGATCTATTTTTCCCCATCAAGGTATGATGTAAATGACATGCTATTTACATCTTGTGAGTTTCAATGACGCGCGTTTGATTTTATAAAAAATGCCAAACTTTGTGACAAAGAATTCCATCAGCTATTGCCCCGAACCGGTCCGTCTTCTCACTGCAAGCAGATTGCCCCGAACCGGTCCGTCTTCTCGCTGCAAGCAGGATGAAATTCTTTGTCACAAAGTTTGGCATTTTTTATAAAAAATCAAACGCGCGTCATTGAAACTCACAAGATGTAAATATCATGTCATTTACATCATACCTTGATGGGGAAAAATAGATCGTATATGTTAGAAGTACTAAATAAAAGTTATCGTGAAAATGAGACAGTCGTTCTCGAGAGAAAAGAGCATAAATGCGCATTTAGAGAGTTTTGGTCCGTTTAAAAATCTGTAAAAAATTGGGGTACCTCAAAGCATCGGGAGGAATCATATATTTCAAATTAGACACGAGGAAGTCAATATTGAGCAAGTTATGGCTATTTTAAATTCAAATAAAACCGTTAACCCGTACCGGTCCAGCTTTTGACCCGTACCGGTCAATTTTCGTTAGCTGCGTATACCAAGGGTGCATATATTAAATGCAGGATTCTGTTTCTCAAATTAATCACATTGTAAATTTCTTTATAGGGATTCAAAACACATTGTAGACGATTTATACTTCTAAAGTTTAACGTATTGTAAATCCGTATTACCATTTACTAACTTTAAGATACAAAATCAAACAATTTAACTGAGCATTAACGAATATAGAATGCATTGTAGAAGTATGAAATACGAATGCATCTTATTTAACATCGCATATAACATTCAAGATCTGATTGATTTGGAAATTGTCCGTTTGTAACCCAATGAGGATTGGCTCCCAGGGTGCAAACGCGATATTCTGGACATGTTGTGATAACAAAATTCGAATTCAAACAGCCGCCTTTTTTTCACTTCAGAATTTGAATCGCGAGATTTGGTCTTTTTTCCTAACAAAATTTCCAAAACACGCAAGAGGTGATCGAGATATTGTTTCGAAACTTTTGGACTGTTGACTGTTGTTTTTCTAGTCATAATGTCAGAAAATAACGACATTCTGACATTTTCATTGTTGGAAAATATCGAGTTGCGTCCCTGGGAGCCAATCCTCCTTATTGTTAACAATATAATTCAAGCAGTACCCTGCGCGCAGATATTGCTGGAGATAATAAGGAAATATACTGATGTAACTCTTTGCAAATGCACATTAAGTGAAGATCACATTGTAATCAACGTATAGCGCTACAAGGTGTTTGCTTACAAGGAGATAACCCTTCAGCTAGGCCATAAAATAAAATTATGACGCGACGCCGGAAACCAAAAATATACAGCACAGCCAACACCATCAGAAGTAACCGGACCTCGAAATTATTACTTTAATATATCATTTTTATGGACGTTACGGACACATGACTTTTGCCAGGCCGTCGGCAATTAGGATAACGATCGTGATCCATGGTCAACAAAGAATATGGCGATTCGAAACGATGGATAAAAAAATGCCACACACATAAGCTAGCAGTAAAGCAAAAGTATTTTAATTAATTAATTATGAATTGTTTGAGGCGATAAGCACTATCATACATAACAAATGTGTTTTACATTCGATATGAATTGTTTGAGATGATAAGCACTATCATATTAAACGATCCTTGAAATATACTTATCACTTGAGATTTTTCTATCCATCTGCGCAATTTTATAGGCATTACCGGAGTGATTCATGAATATCATATCCAGGCAAATACTTGCATACGTATTCGTGAATTTAACTTTTGTATGTCACATGTTGTTGTTTTTCATTTGACAGTAATACCTTCAATAAACCTGATTGATTCAAAAGAGGTATTTTTCAAGACATTGGAAATATCGTATATACTACAGAGCATGGCATTGGTAATGTAACTTGCCGTTTTCTGGTTTTAAAACACGAGTTCATTTATTAATTGAGAGTTATCATTTTATGTTTCAGGAGTGATGTTTCATAATATCATATCTGGCTCTAATCGCAATACAACGTCAATAACAGACTCAAAACAGTTCTGGTATGGACTCGGAATTGCCATTCCGATATCTTGCGCAGTTTTAGCAATTATCTTACTTTGCTGTTGTGGCTGTTTACGCAAGCTCTGCATGAGGATTTGTAAAATTAAAACATCTTCTGAAGGAAGTGACATGAATACAGACACTACAGAGACTATTGATATTGACGCGGCGGACGAACCGGATGTGTCACTTCCGGTTGGAGCAATCGTCAACCCAGTCTTCCAATCTGACTGCGAAACGTAGCAAGATGGGACAACTGACGTCACTTCGACTGCATCCTCCGAACGCAGGGCTCCATAACTCGTACCTCATTGATCGAATGAAGGAACATATTGGGTGGGGTCTGTCTGGAGCCCTGCGTTCGGAGGATGGAAGAAGGAGGTATGAGTTCTGGGGGCCTTTGTTAGGAGGCAGATAATTCGAATGAAGGAGTTAATGGATTAAAAATAGGTGTCAAGATGTCCTCAAAGTGCGCTTGGATCGTTATGGGGATATTTGATAATCTCAGTCTGTCATGGCATTTTGACGTTAATCCATATAGGATCATTTGTGAATGTCATCAGTGAGTGACTGTTGGTGCTCAAATGAGATCTCTTTTTATAAAAAATATCACACACATGAATCTACGCCGTGATCAGGTGATACGGATCACATCTCTTAGTGTCGATTTATTGATACTAATTCTGAAACATCGTTTGTGATTCTACAACTTTTTTCGATGTTGTTCTTTTTTCTAGTTGTGTTTTGTATTTCTGTTTGATTTCTCTTGGCACATGTACTTATTTTCATAATAAAAAGTACCTTTTGTACAGAATGTGACTTCGCATCTCTAATATGAGCATCAATTCATAATTTCATTTAGAAATAATCCTTTGATCTATCTAGCCTTTCTAATAAGAACCCTAAGAATGGGGTGTACAAACAAGTTACATTAGAATTTCTACAAAGACTCCGTTGCATTTACCTATTCAGAACTGACATTCATAATTAAATCCCGATGAAATGTCATAAAATCTACTTCGATAGATGAGGTCATAAAGACCTTACGATCTTACATCCCACACTATCATACCTATAAATTTAGATCATCCTCATTAAAAACTAATAAGAAAAATGTCATTACATCACATTATATACCAATGGAAAGGGGCCAATAATATCTAGAGGCGTCTATTTCTAACATGCATTTAAAGTGTAATTGGTGCATTCACTACCACCAAGGTCGGTCGAACGTCACGGTAATAACTGGACCGTATCGTGCTCGCTATTTCACTGCATAAGACGTCGTGTATATTCAAATCCTGAACTTGAAAGCACACAATTTAGAAATAGGATTGGGACATCCACATCAAAAGTTAAATTATCATCCTGAGACCTTCATAAAAATTACATGCAGAAATAATTTTAATGTTTGTTGTAAGAAACCATTAAAAATATTTTATGGATTTGGCTTAGTTTCTTCTACAAACTTTAGATTGATATTAATCCGTAGTAAGCGTAGTATAAAGAACTTTGATGATGGGAAATTACATACCAATTAGCGTTATATTAGGTTTGATAACGTGGAGAATACTGAATACGATCTTACAGGACCATATCAATCCGCCAACTCTGCTAGGCTACTTTCTAAAAAAAATATCGGAAAACTGCAGTTGATACTGTTGATACATTGAAAGAAAAGATATGATACTGAGAAAATACTTATAAATGAATTATATATTTTGAGTAGTACATGTATATCCATTCTGATTTATCAGTGTCTTATGTAAAGCTTGCGGTTCTCTATTCTAAGGCGGGAATTGTAGAAACTGTGGATCCATTTTTTCCAAATCAGCATTTCTTAAACAACTGAGAGACTGCTGGTTTTACCTTTTGTTACTCACTTGGGATTTTAAAATTGTCTAAATTAAAAATCTCTAAAAATTATTAATACAGAAACAAAAAGAACCATTTCGAATTTATCAATTTATGATTCCAAAATGGCCGTCGCAACAACTTAATTCAACATTGGCAATAGAAAATGAAATAATAATTTCATAATTTCTGTATACTTAATTCAATCTTACTGGAATTTTTTGGAAAATCATAACGTATTACATCCTATTTCTAAATGCAAACATTATCCCAAGTAGGATATTTAGAATCTTTCATTTATCAAGTACCAACAGTACAATATTTTAACAATTTTTATTTATGAGATGACACACACTTTTATATTGAAATGGGTCTAAAGATGAGCAACATAAAGCACATACGAGCATGTGGTAAGCCACGCCCTCTCCATCTCTATCCTTCTGGAGATGCAACAGAGAGAGATGCTATGAGTATCAGAATGACATACGAGTATAATAGGGCCATTTGGGCATCGCTTTACTTTATTAATGATATTTATTAGCGCCATTTACTTCTATCTAAAACAAGTTGTAGTGATATGTTAAATGCAATTAGGTATCCAGACATGTCTTACGTCTTAAGTATTCAATCCCTGTGGATTAAGAAAATGTTTTAGATAATACAAGCATAATATAGGCAGGTATCTGGCATCGTCGCGCCTCCTTTCCTACAAGGCTATGCTATCGTCGCGCCTCCTTTCCTGCTACGTTATGCTCTCTAGAAATTGCCATGGTGGACATATGGTGTCAAACCCAAGCATATAATATTCAAGAACACTCTGTTTAATGAAATTGTTAGAAAATGTCATTTTGAATTACCAGGGTACAGCACAAAGTGAAATGAAAGCAATCTAGTCACTTGTGTTTTAATAGCACAACGTGAACTAAAAACAATCCAGTCACTTGTAATTGTGTTTCAGTTAATATCTCTTAGAAGTAGATTAGAAACAGTATATGCAGGATTAGATTAGATGGATATTTTCCACCAGGATATGAAACGACCATGGCAATTACAACTGGATCTGTTTACTTAACAATTTGCAAACAATATAATTTCGAAAAAATACTCTATACGAGTATTATCAAAATGTTAAATAAATACATCCCAGAAAATATATTTTCACATGCAGTATGTATAGCTTAATTTGGTCCTTTCAGAAGGTTTCATGCGTAAACTCTTAACACAAAATTATGTTTCGGGAAAAAGGGAAAAAGTTACAGGCATGTCAAAATTTAGTGTTTGGTAAAAATTTAAGTCAGTTTTACACCAAAATTCGGTGTGTCTCCCTAACCCATGTTATCAGCAGCAATGCTTTCCATATATGACCTTAAACGTGCTTTAAATAGGGACGTGGCATTTTGTAATCCTCATAAAACCTTTTTAGGCATTGTGAAAGAGTTTTCTTGGAGAATCTACCCTCGACGTCCTCTTTTTAAAACTCAATATCCGTCTTCGACAATCGCACCAATATTTTAATTGGTCCCATCCAGATCTGGGCTGTTTCCGGGAAACTGAAGTGAACTATATTTTTGACAAAACACTAAGTTTTGAAATGCCTGTAATTTTTTACCATTTGTGAGTTGAACCATGATACTTGGCAAATCAACGTAAGTTTGGATAAGCTTTAAAATGATATATGACACATACAATGGAGACATCGGTATATGTATGCCTATGGGGGGGGGGCATACTTTGGGACACCCTGTATACGAACTGGAAATGTGAAAAAGTACTGAAAACCTCAATTAAAATAGAACAAGACCAGCAGTAATTTGAGACAAACAGTAAGTATAAATCAATTTAATGATACTGCAAATGAATTAATCTATTTTTGCTGTAAATACTTCCCCTATACCACTGACCCCTACCACACAAATCAGTATTTTACAACCTTCTTATTAAAATAAGGTACCAAAGTTTAAAAACACGAATTAGATCTTTCATCTGATACTATGATTGACCTGTTGTCTTTGAACATTTATTTCTATTTTTATTTAATATGTATTTTGACACACCGAACGAGCAGACTTAGTATTCGAAAGATCATTGACTGATTCAGTAATCAGTAATAACAAACACATTTAAAACACTATCAGCTAGTGACTAATATATTCTCATCGGTTTTCTGTCCTTTGGGATTAGATTGTTCAACATTGTCAACGGTTGTGCTACCAGGGTTGTCGAATCCTTTGTTCGCAGTCATCTCATCGGAATCCATCTGAAACATGTGCAAGGAAATATGAAATTCCTACATACAAAGTGATAGGGGTTTTAAAAAGGAGTGGGTTTACAAATGTGAATCAAACTTCACTGGTATCATGGTATGGTATACTGTTCTGTTCTTACGTATTCAAACAGAATTTCTTCACTGGACATATTGTCATAAGAAAACATGCCGATATGCGCATGATTGATGAAGTAGGAGCCTAGTTAGTCAAGCCCTCTCTTAATTTTCTAAACATATGGGTCTTATTTATTGTGTGAATCTTCAATTAACAAACAGAGTCATTATTGTCAGGCTCGCTTTACTCGCACACGGGGCCTTTACCTGTTTCCCACAGACCATATTGAGCGCTATTGCACACAGTGCGCATGCCCAGAGTGTCGTCACTAACGCAGTCAGGGCGGCCAATATGAGAAGAGTATCAACAGCCACCTTTGCTCCCTAAAATTACAAAATAAACGAATACGTTTAGTATAGACCTTTGTAATTTTCATCATTTACCCCTAATCATTAAGTACAGTGCTACTCATCTAAAGTAAAAGAGACTGAGACAAATTGAGAGGAAAATAAAAATTGTCGCAATTGTAACTGTTCAAGGATTGAGAAAAGCGACTCGACAAAATTGCAATGAAATAGAGCGGGATTGGAGAGGGTTTGTCAATGTACATAAAGATTTACTCTCGACAATCATTTGTTGGAATTGTTAAATTACGAAGTTAAAGTCTTAAATTGCTGAATTGTTTCTAGACACTCAAGACAAACGTTTGAAATTGTCTGTTTAAAACTCTTTCTTTTAATCCACTTAAAGATTTTAGGAATTTACGGCAGTTGTGGCTTAGACGTTGATCAGCCTCCATTCTGGTTGGAGTGACTTCTAATCGTGGGGATGCGCACAGCTTCATATTAACCCTTTGAACTCCCTTGGCGACGAAAATGATTTAACATTGTATTCAACTATATACATGTAGGCATACGAGACGTCTGATCAATGGTGATTTCTTATAACGGAGATTTATACACACTTTCATTAACTTACTGAATTCCCTGGGATAAATAAATCTGGGTTTTATGTCACTTAGGAGAGGTGGTCAAATATGTGAACCATTTTCCTATCTCAAAGTTCGACGAAAGATAACATTCTGTGTTAAATACAATTTCTTTTCATGTACGTTTGATTCAAAATGTTACACGTTTTCACCCCTGTTTACGTTTTTGGAGGTGAACTGAAAAATTGTGAAGTGGATTTGGACGAGTAAACGTGTCCGAGTGTTTCTGAACGATTTGGAATGTATTTTAATCTCTCGTATCTTGCTAGTCCCCCTTCTTTTCTATCTCCCCTCGTAATCTTTCATTTGGAATCATTTGAAACCGTAATGAGCAAATCGTGGAGTGTGTCTGTAGCTCAATGAGAATTCTTTTTCAAAAACACATCCACATGTTACCATAGAGATGCAATCGGTTGAAACGCCGAATTTGCCATTACGTCAATCCTCTATTTTCGCAAGCTTGTTCAAAACGTTTCGCGGAAAATTTAACTGAATGTCGGAAAAATTTGAAAACCAATTAAAAAAATGTCAAAATTTAATTTATTCGAATTACCTTTGAGGTGGTATCATCGTCGACCTCCTTCCTCAAGAAGACTGCGCACGCAACTGCGAGAACCATACACATACAGCAGGCAATCACAGACAAGATAAAGAATGTCAATACCTGCAATTCAAAACTGATATAGAAACAATGCTTTGTTTCACACTGGCGGATCCAGAAGCTCCCTGGATCCGCCAGTGTTTCTTGTTTTGAAATTCAAAGTACGGTGCAAATATTGTTGAAATATCAAGTAATAAACAAAACTTTGTTCTGGAATATATACAAGTACTAGTATAGTATCAGCTGCACGAGTTCCTTGGTTCGTGGCCAAAGTAACCAATTTTAGTAAAATTTGGACTATTGTAAATGTAATGGCTTTCGTATGAATGAAATGTTTCCTTTTTGTGGTTCTGGATTTCGACAGTGATTCTTGAATCGGGGGATGTTAGGCATTCGTTATTTGTGCACCAGACCGTATTTTGAAATACTTAAGTTTGTTTACATTATGACTGACTTCTTATGCTCTTAGTTACAAATGGTTTCAAAATTCCTAATTCGTTGCCGTAGATATACAGTGGGGAGGTTAAGCTACACGTTTCTAAGATAACACGTACGTAAAGGTGAAACATAATGACCTCGGAAATTCAATAGGTCTTTTTACCAAAGACCAAATCAAAAATATGTCTAGTGACCTATTGTGATTATAGTATCATTACTATCAGATCATTTGCCGACCTAGCTTTGTGAACCATCATCTTAAAAGTGGCTTAAAATGTACCTTACAGGCCGCCTATGTATTTGTGATTATTGTTACAATTTGAAATAAAGAAATTAGTCTGGAAGAAATATAGGGTATTTTGAGGATCAATCGTTTTCTTCGGATTACAATGTTTTTTTAACTTTTCAGCATGAATATAGGGTTGGGACCTCAAAACCACGGAATGCCGGAGTGGCACCCTTGGGCAACTCTCTACAGAGCATTTCTTATACCCCCCTAATAAAATCTACAGGGGGTACTATAAGACACCTTTATATCTCAGACACTAATAAAGATAAAAACTTGAAATTTTCAGGAAGTATTTTTAGTATGATGCTCAATCTGCATGGTGAAAATCAAGAAAAAAATATTAATCTGTTGCTATAGCAACAGTTATAGAACACTATTTGTTACCTTAGAAATGTATTATTTTGTGTGTTTTCGTCATTTTCTTCATATTCTTGATTCTTAAACTCTCTGAAGCATAATAAGCATGATTAGAAGTGAAGATAGAATAATTCATCATATCATTTATGAAATATGTCTAACATTTCAGTTGCTATGGCAACACCACTTGATAATCAGGTTCTTACATTTCACTTTCTTGAATGAGTATAAAGGTCGGGTCCAAAATAACACTTATGTGTTATGCTCTCTAGGTAAAGAAGAGCTCCTTTAGAGGTAAATAGTCACATGAATTTGTAAAAAAATGTATAACTTGTAGTTGAAGAACCCCTCCCCACAGCCCCCAAAGTTTGACGATTGGTGAAAACTGGCAAAAAAACGTTCATTTCCTAGGTTCAAATTAAAAATGCATAGGGATGCAACACTTATTGGTATTCAAGGAACATCTACTGACTTTTTCTGATATAACAATATGAAGATTTTAATTATTAGACAATGGGAAGTATTTTATTTGAAACATTTTAGAACCCTATCCCATAAAAATGTTGAAAAGAGGGTGTGGTCAATTTTACCATTTTGCAGCATTTAAAGTTTGAAATAGATACAAACCAAGGCATTAAAACATCTTCAAATGTTACTTGACATTGATTCATGTATTACTTGTATATGGGACACTAAATTTTATATGTTAATTTTGTATTTAGTGCATTTCCAAGGTAACAAATAGTGTTCTATTACAGTTGCTTTAGCAACGGATAAATTTATATTTTCTTAATTTTTGTCATATGGATCGAACATCATACTAAGAATACTCCCTGCAAATTTCAAGTCAATATCATTATTAGTGTCTGAGATATAAAGGTGTCTCATAGTACCCCCTGTAGATTTTATTAGAGGGATATGAGAAATGCTCTGTAGAGAGGTTGGCATAGTATAGACATTGGCATAATGTCTAATTATCACAACTATTATTTTTTCTCATCTGAGCAAAGACTATGATGGTTATCATGAATGAGTACAGTTCTATATGTAAGTTTTATATTTACTACATGTATCATAATGAAATCTAATAATGGTATCATACAGTAGAGAGGTTGGCATAGTCTAGACATGCAAAATGTCTAATTACTACAACCATTAGTTTTTCTCATCTGAGCAATCAGACTATGATGGCTATCATGAATGAATACAGTTCTTTATATAAGTTTTATATTTAGTACATGTATCATAATGAAATCTAATGTTATGCAGTAGAGAGGTTGGCATAGTCTCGACATTGGCATAATGTCTAATTATTAAAACCATTAGTTTTTCTCATCTGAGCAATCACAGTATGATGGTTATCATGAATGAGTACAGTTCTATACGTAAGTTTAATATTTAGTACATGTATCATAATGAAATCTAATGAAACGTAACCATATAATAGAGAGGTTGGCATAATCTGGACATTGGCATAAAGTCAACACATAAGCAACTCATCTCATTAGCCAGAAGTCGATGGTCATCATGCACAGTTGTATCCTGATATGTTGGGTCAGTCATTTTGGCCGTACGTTTCTTATCCTTTTCTTTTCAATCAGCAGCGTCATATACAATGTGCAAAGCATGGCAAAAATTCTTATTATATAAAACACTTAATTCTCTTCATCTGAACAAATGGCAGTTTTTGTTAAGCTATAAATCAGAGCCAGGTGTTTGAACAGTAGCTAAAAAGATTAATGTAAATCATTAAAGATGATGTCTTCAAATTTTCAAGACTCCTTACAGGCAGTTACAGCAAGGTCCTTAAAAACTCTTAGTTCTCATCATCTTAATATATACAAGAATCCTTGTAAAATCATGGAGCATCAGAGCCAGGTGGTGGAAAGTATCTAGTGTGAGTGAGTGCGCTCGTGTGAGGTAGCATCTTTGGTATCTTGTGTGTGGAGTAAACCGTTTCTGGCATAATTGGCAAGTTGACGATCTGTCCACGAATAATGAGAAGCAAATGTTGGCTGCAACGTCACACCTGTAACTATGAACGATAGCAAACCTGGTCAGACTTAATGCATATTGCTGCTTGGTTGACCAATTGAAAGCCATATTTAGTCGTTTTAAATAATCAACATTTCAAACACCTGGCTCTGAATTGTGAATGATTCTGCTAAATGGGTTGTAAAGGATTCCAATGTCTGAATTGTATGCACGTCTCTACTGTATGATTGTATTGGATTTCATTCTGATACTAAAAACATATAATCAACATATAAAATTGGTGTCCTATACAGAAGTTATACATGAATCAATGTCAAGTAACATTTGAAGATGTTTTAATGCCTTGGTTTGTATTTATTTCAAACTTTAAATGCTGCAAAATGGTAAAATTGACCACACCCTCTTTTCAACATTTTTTATGGGATAGGATTCTAAAATGTTTCAAATAAAATACTTCCCATTGTCTAATAATTAAAATCTTCATATTGTTATTAATATCAGAAAAAGTCAGTAGATGTTCCTTGAATATTAATAAGTGTTGCATCCCAATGCATTTTTAATTTGAACCTAGAAAATGAACTTTTTTTGCCAGTTTTCACCAATCGTCAAACTTTGGGGGCTGCGGGGAGGGGTTCTACAACTACAAGTTATACATTTTTTTTAAATTCATGTGACTATTTACCTCTAAAGGAGCTCTCTTTAACTAGAGAGCATAACACATAAGTGTTATTTTGGACCCGACCTTTATACTCATTCAAGAAAGTGAAATGTAAGAACCTGATTATCAAGTGGTGTTGCCATAGCAACTGAAATATTAGACATATTACATAAATGATATGATGAATTATTTTATCTTCACTTCTAATCATGCTTATTATGCTTCAGAGAGTTTAAGAATCAAGAATATGAAGAAAATGATGAAAACACACAAAATAATACATTTCTAAGGTAACAAATAGTGTTCTATAGCTGTTGCTATAGCAACGGATAAATATTTTTTCTTGATTTTCTCTATACTGATGAAGCATCATACTAAGAATACTTCCTGAAAATTTCAAGTCTTTATCTTTATTAGTGCCTGAGATATAAAGATGTCTTATAGTACCCCCTGTAAATTTTATAAGGGGGGTATAAGAAATGCTCTGTAGAGAGTTGCCCAAGGGTGCCGCTCCGGCATTCCGTGGTTTTGAGGTCCCAACCCTATATTCATGTTGATAAGTTAAAAAAACATTGTAATCCGAAGAAAACGATTAGCTTTCAACTTTCTGCCAGAATAAATAGAATGTATATAAAAAAATAAAATAAATAATTCCCCTTATTCCTAACACTCAATCTTGCAAGTAGATGTTACGTGGAAGAGAACGAACCCTCGAGTACCTTGATTATACAAGTTCGCAGGGGCGGAGCTGGGAACCAAAAAGGGGGGACCCAAACTTCTGGTCTGTGAAAAAAGAATTTGGGCCCCTAAAACCAAAAAGTGGCCCCAAATTTTGAGGCCCATTTTCTTCAAAATTTGGCCTAAAAATAAAAAATAAGGCCTTAGAAGGCCCATTTATAACCAAAAATGCCCACTTTTTGGGGCCTTAAGGCCTTATTAGGCTCAATTTTTGGGCTCAATTTTTTTCTGGGTCCACCCAAGGGAAGGGGGGGCGGGCCCCTGCCACTCCCCAGATCCGCCAGTGCGTTCGCGCACAAAACAAGTGAACAAGTGACTTAAATTCTCTGTCCCCCAAAATTCTAACACATTTGCAAACTTGTAACATCGATTCTATGGGCAATCATCGAGTGAATTTAAGGTCACTCTAACCAGCTCCCCATTACTCCTTGAATTAAGGCTTTGTCACAAATATGTTTTAAGTCTCTTAATTCGTTGCTATGGTAACAAATAATGCCAAAAATAGATTTAACCATGCAACATGTCTGTGTTTTCACATAAAGAATTTGTCATCTAAACATTTTTTTAAAATGGTTGCAAAAGGTTACAAAACTGTGACAATTTGTTACAGACGCTGAACGCCGAATTCCAACCAACGAACTCTGGTCATAAAAATCCACCGAGTGGAAGATTTGAAGAACCAGAAACTTAAATTACAAGCTAATATTGTAACGTCATTGTTACAAGAATTTATTCTGGCAAGCAGAGCGCTAAATGAGACACCCTGTGTAAAATACAGCAACAAATGTCTGAATGTAGGTGCTAAATGTTAATTTAAGAATTGTAATTCAACCAAAGTCCCAAATGCTCCATTTCCTAGGATGTTTTATTGCATTAGCCCCTTGGTTAATAGTTCTTCGATCGCTGGGATTCGTTTATTTACTACCTAGTCTATTTGGTTTGAAAACAATGGCGTTAACTCGATAATTCAATTGACGGAAAATCGTGAAATATCCATCAAATTCTTCTTTGAGGACACCTCGTTAATTTAAAGCATGAACCTCCAGAGGATAGAGGTCCGTGATTAAGAAAGTAGAAAGGAAAGGAGACGATGCCATAGCAAGTGATAAGAACAAAACTACACAACTTTACAGAGTTTTCTACCCATTATTCCATGTCAAAACCCATTTTCTAATGTTTCGACAGTGATTCTGATTTTTTGTGATTAAATTTATCCTTTGATTTTAAATTGACAAATAGGCTATAAAAGAGACGTTCTCTTTTTCAATAACTTCTATTATATTGCCTTATTAAATACCTCATTTCAGAAAAAGATTTTCAGAACATTGTGGTATTTGGCAAGATATCAAATGTCACATTTAGTCTTTGAATTTAACACAACTTACTGCGCATCGTGTTTTCGAGTGCATGGACACAATTCCGAACAAACCAGCGACAAGAAGCTGAAAATAGATACATACAGGGTATCTATAAAGTCTCTTCACACCTTAGACAGACTTTATTTTGTAATTGTAAAGGGACTTCATGGACACCATATTCAAACTCAATTATCTGTAGTACATTCAATTTACTCACTCACTGCCCTCACCTTGTCACTCATTCAACTACTCATTCACTTTTCCCATTTATTGCGAGCATCTTTCTAGCAAAGATATAACTACAGAACTAGCACTCACTAATTCAACTGTTGACTAATGCCTGACGGTTTAATAACTATTTTATGGCCAACTCATCCATATGAATAGTATTCATATTTAAATGAATCGGCCATAATATAGCCAGTAACAATCAAATCGTCACCCGTCAGTCGATAGTGAACCCGATAGTTTATTCGCGAATACTAGCAGTCTGGACTATTTGGTTATCAGAATGGGTCTCATCCACACAAATGGTGGTGACATCTATTTTTCAAAAACAATGTTGAAGTGACTTAAATGGTAAGCCTTTCTCCTGTTTACACATTCTTACTTATCAGAGTCTCTCTTTATCTAAAGCTTGTGAAAGAGGATAGTAGAGACTGTGGTTTCCACAATGTCGTGTTTTTGCATTCATATCATTCGAACTCATTCAATCACAAACTCAAATGCACTCAATGAACCAATCGGAGCATCATCTGACTCTGATTAATAGTCAATGCTACTGACACCAATGGCTTCTCTTTTAAGAGATTATGTACCAGAGATTAATGTAAGATTGTATGGCTTCTAAAGTGAAAATCAATCGTAATTAATACTAGTAATATAAGCTCAAATACGAAGAATGAACAAACAAACAAACAATGAGCAATGAACACACAAATAAACATCAGATATTACTGACTAGACTTACAAAGGGCCCTGCGAGTAACGCCGTTGCCCCAACGCTCGTCCCTACGCCAATGTTAAGAGATACTATACCAAGTACGATGCTGAGACCACCACATACTACCGTCACTATGCTCAATATCCGTATTGTTCTCTCGGACAAGAGGGTTGGTGATATCCATGGTGTTCCCTGAGACATCCTATTATTTATTCCTTATATTTACTTTTATTCCTTTAATTCCTTATATTTACTTTTATTCCTTATATCATGTACAGCAATCGGTATTGTTTATATTTAACATATAGTATAGTATCTGTGTGCGGATATGTGCGTATTTAAACATCAAAAGTGTTGTGTTCTGATCATGTTTCAAGTCACACAAGCCATAAATTACTCGGAGTCCAGTAAAGAGTCACTTTAAAACTTTTATTTGATTTTCAATAAGATATAAGCCACTTCTCGAGATGAGAGTTTAAAGTCCAACTTATTCCGATCTTATCCAACATTGTTAGAGGTTATCCCAATCTCGTACCCAATATCTGAACTTTAGAAAATTATCATAAATATTGAACATTGACTTTAATGCTGTTTTGAAGTTGTTTGTTTCATTTTACTGATTCATGTGACTCCAGCTACACGTTCATATACTTGCCAGTATAAACCCCATGTCGATATATTACTATACCATATAAGTTGACTGTATTTCAACGATGTGTAAGGTTTATGCCGAATGATTTTGTTTGTACCTTGCTAAGTTAAATATTTGGATTTTTAAAACCCATGTGAAACACAATAGAATGAACTGTATTTTGTTTAGAATGCACAGCTGTAACAAAAGATGGGTACATTCTTGTTCTGTTTTTCTTAAAGAATGGACACTAGGCAAGCTATCAAAAACCAGTGTGGCTCAAATGGACCATGGACCATTCACCTTTCATAAGTGTCATTGTGGTTGTTTAAGTTAGATAAACCATTACGTAAAATAGGACTATACCCTTAAACCCGGTGTAAACGAAATTATGGTCCCCTGGGGATTATGGTCCCCTTTCCTTACAGTCCTTACTGGCCCTGACTGTGTATAAATAATAAGGAAAATAATTGTAATTAGGTCACCATATAAATCAATAGAGAGTAGGAGCAAAATTTGATAGGACCACCTACCCTTTTACACCCGGGGAATGCATTAAAATAGTGTTTTTTAACTAACTTGTAAAAATACTATTTTAATACATACATGTATGTTCATTACTACGTACTATATATAACTTGTAAATATGATACTATTTTAATACATTGCCGGGGTTTTAGGGATAGTCCTATTTTACCGTATGTAACATATTCTTGGGGCCTCTTGCGCTTTTCGGCCTTTTCATACACCACTGTCATATCACACGTATGTTATCACATATAAATGACTTTTTCAGATATCTTACAGTGAATTTACCTTCTTCTAACACAGATGGCAGAATTTTTCTTAGAATACATCCTAAAGAAAATACATATTTTCTTTAGGATGTATTCTAAGAAAAATTCTGCCATCTGTGTCTTCTAAGGCCACTGTATTGGCTAGAGACTCGAGTAATAGTCGGAATGTTTCAAAGTTTTTTTTAGGCGGGGGGGGTTAAAAAGTAGAAGGTGGCTTTGCGTCGATATGAAGTGAGAACGACTCTATTTAAGTGAGTACAATATAATCACAATAGGTAATAATTTCCACTCGGTGTGCCGAAAGGCATATTCTCAAAAGAACATGTGTTCGAGATTCTCTTTAAACTGTAGTAAAGCTCGTTCGGAAATATAGTGTAACTAAGTACACGTAATCCTTCCGCGAAAGCTTGTAAAATAAATTTCATATGTGATTTCTTCTTAAATTTCCCATACTAAAATACCTAATGAGGGTATTAAAAGCTTATATATCAATGGCTATTCGTTAAATTATGCATCAGAGACTTTACTATATTGGAACTATATTTTGAGAACTACTTTATATATAGTGCGGAATGACATGAAAAAAGTGTTCTTCGGTCAAAAAAAATAAAACTTTTAAATCGATGGATATGTTACATTTAGGATGAAAATCTCGTGCTGGACATTCATAATAGCCTTGTTTCATACAGTACAATGTAGTTATAACTTATTCCGAGACCACTGGGAACCAAATGACAACAAATATGGCTATTTTCCTGAAGAAGAGCGGGTTCGAATGTTGGACGAAACTCGAAAAATGTTCCAATTTGGTTGGGACAATTACATGAAATATGCCTTTCCTAAAGACGAACTTAATCCTATATTTTGTGAAGGAAGAGGGCCTGATTATGACAATCCGTATGTATTATTATTGTGTGTTTAGTTTCGGTGGTTCTAAGTGAGTTTTGTTGCTAAAAAATAACTTTTAGATCACTATCAGGAAGTCACTCAATTATCGCCCACAACTGAACTGGACTCTTCGCAGTTTCGGTTTCTACACCGCAACTTGAACTTCTGACACTCCTCATGATCATCATGTACTGTTATGCTTGATACCTATAGTAAAAATAGATATCAAGTACCTGACCTGAAACGAACTTGATTGATACATAAGACCATGGGCTTTCTATTGAATGCCCATGATCAGACTAGACTAAATGTATATCCTATTTAGTCTGAATCATATTCAGACTATAGGGTACCTATGTTAGGGTTTGGTAATTCTAAATATTTGTTTACATAGGAAGTGGTATTCAAAATGTCTGATTGGGTAAAATTTATTTGCATATTTGTTACTTCATGTAGCTTTATTTCCACTTGACAATATGCTGTGTTACTTTTTATTGCATTTAATTGTACCTTACTACTTAATTGAAATTTTGTAATGTTTATTTTATTGAAGAAATGGTTCCTCTAATTGATAATTTTGTGCAAAAATTTCACTGCAATTTCCACAGGAAAGTAGTAAATCATAACATACTGACTTCTAGTCAGTCTGTTGGATACATACTAATGATCAGACTTGTCATTTGAGACACACAAATGCCCGATTATATATTTTGGGACTTGTATTGTAACAATCAAAATTATATAAATGTTTAAACTGGAAAACCCTAGCGGAGAGAAGAGAAGAAAAACAAAGTATTCACATGTTCAAAGTCCGATCAAATTTGACCCCCTCTTATGTAGTCTCTATATATGAAAAACTGTCCAATCCTGGTGCCGAAAGGGAGCTCCGCTCCAGAAGAGAATATGTTTTACCAGTGAGAGCGTCTGTGAAATACCTAAATTCACCAGCCATAAAGCCTATCTCCATTTGGAAAAATCTTTCAACTGAAATAAAAACATCGCCAACCCTAGCAATCTTCAAGAAAAACTATAATAAGAAATATACATTTCATAAAAAGAATATTTTAACAAAAAATCTTAATTTGAAAAGGTCTTCTGAAACTAAACTTAATAAAATAAGAAGCGACCTTGCCCTTAAAAGTGACTTTTTTAGACATAATTTCAACAACATCATAGATCCTTCTTGCCCCTGCGGCCACCGAAATCAAGATAAGATTCATCTTTTACTCGACTGCCCTCTAACCGCCATACATAGAAATGATTACATACAGAACATCCTAAAGTTAGACAATCTTGATATTATGTGCTATTTTGGAAAAACCAGAAAGCAAAAAATAGAATTTATACTTTATGGAGATGAAAATTTAAATAGTGAACTGAATACAAAATGCCTTCAACTATCTTCAAATTATATCGATAACATCTTAGAATGACCATCCTCCTCATTTCACATCATCTCTCATTAACACTCATATACATCATCATGGGCAAGACCTGGTGGACGACCGTCTGTCCGTTGCAATCCTACACACTCCAGTGATTTATTATATGTTTTTAACTTTCTAGAGGGGGGCCAATAATGCTATGTAGCCTCGGCCCCTCACAATCTATGTAAATAATTATGTTGAATATTATAGAAATAAATAACAATAACCTAATAAAAAAAAAAAAAAATCAGTGTTGTCTGGTGTCTTTTACTCTTTTTGATATAATATAAATTATATTTACATATTTCTTGTAATAATATAAAAGCACTTGTATGTTATATATTACTTCAATTATTTGTTTATAGGAGTAACATTAATATCAATGACGTGCTTGGGGATTTCTCATTGACTTTAGTGGATACCCTAGACACATTAGCTGTAAGTTTGCAATAAGATATCTAAATATTAATTTATACCAAACAAAGAAAAATCGAACCAAATTATTAACACTTCCAAAGACCCCATACTGATATTTATGTTATCAAGCGATATTATTTAGTGCAATTTTTATTGAATTGCCCAGTGTCTTTTCCATTCTACTTTGAATTATGATTATCATTGTTTCAGATAATGGGAAATAGCAGTGAGTTTAAACGTGCAGTAGATCTTGTCATACAACATGTTAATTTTGATAAACCAAACACAGTTCAAGTATTTGAAGCTACAATTAGGTTGGTATACACCTACTGTATATTCTATATAAAGACATATTAATGTAAAATAATAATTTACAGTAATTGGAATATTGAAAAATTAGGACAATGATCATGTTTTGTTATTTTAAGAAAAGTATATAATATATTCATAATATGATATCCTAAATTCCGTTTTGTTATTTATTTCAAATCAAGGTAGAGTAATATGGATCAAATTTCCCAATTTCTTTAGTGGCACAAAATTGATATACCTGTGTATAAACATAATGCATTTTTTTCATTGTGCCTTAATTGTGCCCTATAAACATGTACTTATGTGAGGCAAAATGTCTTTATAACAACAAAGAGGGTTTTACCTATAGGGACTAAAGTTTATGCCTTTGGCCTTGGTCCTATTATGCCCACATAAAAAGTGCCATTTTAATAGGCAATGTATTTTTCCTTCAGAATATTAGGCAAAATGAGAGGGTTACTAGAGGACCTGGTATGACTAAAGTTTATGCCTTTCACATTGGCCCTATTACACAAAAAATGCCATTCTACTAATATGATGTATTTTTCCTTCAGGATATTAGGTGCCTTAATTTCTGCTCATTTGATTGTGATTGACCCAAAGCAGCCCTTTGGAGATATGGTACCAGATTTCTATGACAACGAACTTTTAGAACTGGCGCATGATGTAGCCGGAAGACTTCTTCCTGCCTTTGAAGATACACTCACTGGGATGCCTTATCCTAGGGTATGTAGTGCAGTGTATTGTACATGTATATCCAAATTAACTATGCTATACAGGTAATAATGGGATGCCAAAGAGTTAATTTTTTTAGTTATTATAGCTTTTTGAAAGTGTATTTATAGGATGAAAGAAAAAATAATGAGATAAGCATTAGAAAATAATTATTCTTGTACCAGCCTGAATTCTAATCAACTAATTCTGTTCTTTTTGAAATCAATTGAAAAGTTTCATGAAAGTGAATATAAAACTATATTGAAGATTTATCAGTAAATGCTATTCACAAATGATTTTGACATAATATGATGAAAAAAAAAATGTAACATTTATTTTAGTTTTTAAAAAAATTGATGACATCGTTTGCATCATTCTTACAAAATGCAAAAATATGTTTACTCTAATTGTTTGGTATATTTTAGATAAATCTCCTACATGGTGTTCCATTTGATTGCATCAATGAGACATGTACAGCAGGTGTTGGAACTTTGCTCTTAGAGTTTGGCATCCTTAGTAAGCTCCTAGATGACCCTGTATATGAATCTGTGGCCAAGAGGGCTCTTTCTGCACTGTGGAGCTATAGGTCTAATGTTACTGGACTATTTGGTATGGAAATGCATATTCAGAAATGCATATAGAGAATGTTTAGACCCAAACTGAAAATGTCATATCAAGTCATGCTTAATTTACTCTGTATCTCTCTGGAATGTGACTGAAGTTACATATTTCTGGCATTTGTATATAATTTGAAGTGTACATTTAACCACATTTACTTTTTCTTTAACGACTATCCTCAATTCTTTGCTAAAACTTGTAATCACACTGAGATTGAATTGTAATGATGTCATAAGTTATGAATGTTATTGAATAATTCCAGGTAATGTGATAAACATCCAGACTGGAGAATGGATTGGACAGATGAGTGGACTAGGCGCTGGTATTGACTCCTTCTATGAGTACCTCTTTAAGGTTGGTGTCTCGTAAAAAGGTTTTCACGTATTTCTTATGATTGGTGTCTCACAAATAGTTTCTTGATTATAACAGTGTGATATATTAAGGAGAAAGTTGTGTGAAAAAGCATGTTTACACTGATATGTTTTCATATTTTTCAGGCTTACATCATGTTTGGTGATGAATCGTATCTCGCAATGTTCAATGAGTCTTATGAAAACATCAAGTCACATATGAGGAAGGGGTAAGAGTTCATGACATCTATTGGTTATGATGTCATACTTACTGTGTCAGGACAGAAATCGGATGAACTTACCACGAATGTTCAAGAATTTCTTGCAGTTCTGTTTACAAACATTACTGACTGCTAAGAATGGCATCATAAATCTGATAAAGGCTAATACAGGCTAGCTCCATAGATCACCAAGAGAAATCAGGATTTATTGGAAAGGTCACATAATTGATATGTTTTATATACAGGATATCAGGGAAGAGATAAGAGTCTTTCTGTGGATTTTCTTGCAGTGTGGTATTTTGCAGCCAATATCCTTCAATATAGATTTTAGTTACCAATTTGAATCTGAGTTTTAAGTACATGTAACTTATTCTTATTATGATTTTTGATTTTTAAGGAGGGCTGAGTGTAACCAAGGCAGAGGCAATCCTCCATTGTATGTCAATGTTAATATGCAGAATGGGGAAACTTCTAATAATTGGATTGATGCCCTACAAGCCTCTTGGCCAGCAAATCAGGTATGTGTATTAATTGATCATTTGATGTTTTTTCAAATACAGTACTTATTATTCTTTGAGATTTGGTCATCCATGCAACTGTACAGGTATCTTGACTATGAACTTGTGTACATGTTATAATTGTAAAGGTCACAAAGACTGATGTGATTTGGCTACATTAACACATTTTAGATTTTAAATGTCACATTTGTTATTCCTTGGTTCAAGGAAGCAAAGAAAATAACATAAAAAACTCAGTAAACAGAAAGCATTCAGGAAGAATCTTGATACACTTCATTTAATTATCCCATCGAACGAAGTTCGGAGGGATATAGGGAACGGCTCCGTCCGTCCGTCTGTCCGTCCATCCGTCCGGGCAATAACTCAAATACCGTTGGCCTGATTTTGTTCAGATATACCCTATGGGGATAGAAGTTCTGCTCAAAAGCCGATTTTTAAAATGGCCGCTCATTTAAAAATGGCGGCCATTTTAGTACCGATTTTACAGTAATTTAGGTGCAATATGTAAAACTGTGATAGCAATATGTTTTAAATGTAAAAAAATTATATAGGACATTGATAAAGCTAGAAATGTAGATATTAAAATAGCACATGGCAGCCATCTTGAAAAATGGCGGCCTTTACTCGTTATTTTACGATTTTTGCTGTAACTCAAGAAGTATTGGAGCGATCTTGTTCATATTTGGTATGTGAATACTATAAGCATGGCTCACTGTCTAATGACACTTTTGGTAGGAGGAGGCCATTTTAAAAATTGGCCGCCATTTTGAAAAATGGCCACCATTTTGAAAAATGGCCGCCATTTTAACATATTTTACTTTAACTCAAAAAGTAGTGGAGCGATTTTGTTCATATTTGGTATGTGAATAACATAAGCATGGCACACTGTCTAATGACACTTCTGGTAGAAGGCGGCCATTTTGAAAAATGGCCAACATTTTAAAGTATTTTACTGTAACTCGAAAAGTAGTGGAGCGATTTTGTTCATATTTGCCATGTGAATACTATAAAAAAAGCATATGACTTCTTCTGATGACAAAAAATGGAATTTGAAAAATGGCCGCCGTTTAAACGTATTTTACTCGGCCTTTACTCGTTATTTTACGATTTTTGCTGTAACTTGAAAAGTAGTGGAGCGATTTTATTCATATTTGGTATGTGAATACTATTAGCATGGCACACTGTCTAATGACACTTTTGGTAGAAGGCGGCCATTTTGAAAAATGGCCACCATTTTAAAGTATTTTACTATAACTCGAAAAGTAGTGGAGCGAATTTTGTTCATATTTGGCATGTGAATACTATAAAAAAGCATATTACTTCTTCTGATGACAACTTTCTTATGTGTGTTATTTTATGATATTTGCTATATATTTCTTTTGTAAAAATGCCAGCTTTTTCTGTTCAATGGGATTCGCTACGCTTTGGCATTGCCGTTGTTCTGGTTTTAATTGTTTCAAATTCACAATACAGAATCTTCAGAATTCTGCACTTATGAGTTGGAATCAATTGGATTCCTCTTTTTGTTATGTACCAGTATTATGGAGATATTTACACTTTATTTTTATGTTTTATTTGACATTATAGGTATTAAATGGGGACATAGAAGAAGCTATATGCTCCCATGCTGTCTACTATGCAATATGGAGGAAATATGGAGCTCTTCCTGAGCGTTATAACTGGCACCTAAAGGTAAACGAAGAATTTGTATTTTCTACTTGATCATGCTGATCCAATAATTTGAAAAAAAATTTGATTGTGTAAAGAACAAGTAATTTTATCAACTCAGAATCAACCAACAGCTAACCCCCCTATCACACCAAACTAGTTCTTACCCGTTCTTGCCAGTCCTACGAAAACGTGGTAAAACAAGCTCAATCTGGCTATGGTCGGGAAATATGTCTAAAATAATTAGTTACTTCGTTCATAAACAGTCTTCAATACATCCATCTCATTCGCAGTTTGTTCAGGTCGCACCACATCTGTGTGCAACGTCGTATAACGTGTCCCTTAGTCTAGAAGCTCATCATGACCTTATTGCAGAATGGTATGGTCACCATCGAATTTTGAATCGATTCAAAATTCTAAATCACATATCCCGTCCATGAAAGTCCATGAAGTTTGTAAACAGACTGTAGAACGTTGTAGCTACGTTCATTCAGTTCGCACACAGTTTAAAACCGATTCGACAACGTTTTAACGATCACCAGAAAATTTTGAGCATGCTCACAGATCCCAAACGGTTCTTAGTAGGTTCTTAGTACGTCAAATCCGTTTGTGCACAGTTTAAGCCCGTTTTCTAGAACGTAGTGAGAACTAGTTTGGTGTGATAGTAGGGTAAGAAAAGCAATGCAGTCATATTTATGGCAGAAGGCAAACATATAATAAGCAGTCATTGGCCGACTGTTTACTGACTGTCAGAATCTGGTTTCTATTTATTTTTATTTTTTTCTCAATATACATTAAGAATCTGGTTTCTTCATCAACAAACATAATTTGTTCCACTTTTTACTGCATTTTGGAAAAGTGCTGTATTTTAAATTTTTATTGTGAATTTTATTTCTCTTCATTAGGCCCCGGATGTAACTTTCTACCCCCTACGTCCAGAATTAGTTGAGTCCACTTATATTCTGTACCAAGCAACCAAGAATCCTTTCTATCTGCACGTTGGAAAGGACATTTTGAACAGTCTCAACAACCACACAAAAGCAGAGTAAGTAATGTCAAGGTCATGTTTTAAAAAGATAGGTTTGAAAAGATGTAATCAGCAGGGAAAAAGTTATGAATCCTGTAGTAAGTGTTCTTTTACTACTGGCCCTCAACCTTCACTCTTAAAGTGTCTCACATATTCGATCAAAATTTGCCATGCAAACATGTTAGTCTACTTTACTGGCCCCCCTTGCTGTAACAAGGAACACAAAACACATTAAAACGTAAACATAAACCAATTAGTCAGACGATCACTTCACTATAAAAGTTAGGGGTGTTCAAGGCAAATGTGTATTAGCAGAATACGCTGTGTGCATGGACTAACACAATGTCAGTGGTCATTTACTGTGTCAACTTAGTAACCCTTGCATATCGTGCTCACTCAAGTATTGAATAATTTTTTTATGATCTAAATGTTTGTGGTTTATAAAAAAATGTGATATATTTTAGTTGGAAATACATTAATAAATATATTCATTCAAACAGCACTAGAATGCGGGAAGAAAGAGCAATGGTGACAAAATGCAGACCGAATTTTCCGTAAGGGTTTCAAACATTTCTGGACACAATCATACATGTACTTCATGTGTACTGTTATTTTTAGTGCTGTATTTATAGATATGATTTCACGTATTAAAATCATATTTTCCAGCAATGACTTCAAATTCGGAACCACCCCCATATCACATTTTCTTCAATAACTCCAAACATGTGTAAACATTGACCATGTGCATATAAATTCAGATTTCACGAGCTCTTTCCTATTTGAGTACCTCATACACCCCTGCATGGATTTGAGTTGGATTCGCCTTTTATACGTGAGCTGGTACACATCGCAAACGCTGATTGGATAAAGATTGCGAGAATCTTTAAAGTAATTTAGGTGAAATGTGTGTTTTTTGGAAAAAGTGGACCTTCATATTAAAAAGGCCAATTTTGGAAAAATGGGCCCAAATGTTTAAAAAGGGATATATGAGAAGTTTTGTTAAGATCAAGAAAAGATTGAACCCCTTGTCAATATAATCCCTCCAATAGTTTCATCTGTGATGGGCTGACTTCCTAGGATAGGACGCCACACACTACTGAGTATATAGTCCCCATACTCTAAACTCTTCCATCATATAAAATATGCTTGTCCACCTTTTGTTAACTGCTATAAAACAGTGGCTGAGGCGGGCTCCAGGAGGTTGGGAAATAAGATGTGAATCACATTTAGAGTGTTCAAAGATTAAAAAAATGTAGATAGAAAAAAGAGATTGAACACAAGGTCTATACTGATCAAACTGACATTTTTATCACATATATCATATATGCTGTATTCCTCTGTTTTTTTCCAGGTGTGGCTATGCTACTATACATAATGTCAATGATAAGGACCTTGAAGATAGGATGGAAAGTTTTTTCCTCAGCGAAACTTGTAAATATTTATACCTTGTAAGTATGAATCACTTCCTCCCTTGAATAGTATGGGATTTTGGATAATGATCAAATACAAGTGTAAAATGGGCACCAAATCATTAAATGAAAATCAGTACATATTTTAGACACCTTTTATTGTATTTAGATAACTACGACATAGGGTAGGAACATATTGGCGAAATTGGAAGATAACTTTCAATTACATATAGCTCTTAATCTCAAAATTAACACCAAGCAGTCAAGGTGCATCAATCAATGTTTTATTGACATGATAATAAGCCAACCAATTCAATCCACTTAACCCAGGCATTGCATTTGCATTCATAAATCCAGGTGCTAGGTACCTATACACTATAGTCTTGTTGTGAGATACAACTACATCTTTTGTGTTATATCTGTCACACGTTCTCCTGCAGAATTGTTTCGCTGATAATGCTACTGCGACAAATCCATTTCTTGTTACACCATGCACTGAACCAAACATGACGGCACTGTCATTATAGGATGTAAAGTTATAGGGTTTCTTGATTTTCCATGTTATTCCTTCTTCATACAAGGCACGGTTAAGCAGAAGCTGATCATCAGGGAGTCTAGATATACTTTCTCTAGCAAGGCTGTCCCAAAACTGGTCTGCAAATACAGGTTGTTTTGTGAATTAGATTCTGCAAGTACATGGTGTTCTATGAATTGAACTCTGTAAGTACAGGAAGGTCTTTTTACTAAATTCTACCAGGACATGGCGTTCTATGAATTATATTCTGAAAGTTCAGGCTTCTGATATGAGTTCAAGTCTGCCAGTATTCTTTGTATTAGATTTTGCCAGAACAAGGTGTTCTATGAATTAAACTCTTCCAGTACTAAGGATGTTGTTTGAACTAAATTCTGCTATGACAGGGTGTTCAATGAAGTTACCTCTGCAAGTACTTGGCATTCTATGAATTTAACGCTACAATTATAGAGTTATAATGATCTAAATAAATTAAATGGAAGCAAAAATATCCATTCTACATGTATATTCCTTAGATCACCTAAAATGGTTAAAATGTTAAAAGATAGAAATACACATTTAAATTGAACTCACCCATTCTTTTTGAGTTCCTTAGTTCCACACTGCCCATGTTGAGTGTGAATCCATATGATTTCCCAATACCAATTGGATATATCCCAGTGGCTGCTATTATGTCTGCAGTTTTGATTTTGTCAAAGACTTTCAGTGGGTTCTTCAATGGGATAGCATCTAAGTCAAAGTTGTCAATTTTTTCAAAGCCAACATAGTGGAATATTCTCCAAATCACCATTCTAGCCACCCAGATGTTTTGTTTTGCTGTTTGGAATTTGAATCTGTAGTAAAAAAAGAATCAAATTAACAACTTATTATCTCTTTAAACAGAGAAACATTCTTTAAACCTTACCTTTGTCTAGATTTTCTATTTGCCAACATGGGTCTGGCTAGGCAGGTGGACGCAACATGTCACGTAATCTAATAGTCTTAGCCTCATCTATTATCTTTTGCCTCGCCAAATTTTAGATCTTTGCTACATCCCTGGTCAATCCAATTTGAAATATATATGTATAATCAGTAAAAACTGGTATGTGAAAACTTCTCTAAATTGTGCACCTAACTGTTGTTCAATGAATACTGAGACCAATGCTTTCAGTTAAGGTTTCTAGAGGAGCCTATGTGAAATTTTAAGGAATTGTTGCATATGTGAATTGAATCTACAAAATATACCTACAAAGTTTGGTAGCAGTAGCATACATAAGGGCATTTCTGTGGTTGCTATAGTAACCATACATATATATATTAAATGAAGTAATATTTTGGCAGATTTAAGACAAATACACTGGCTCCAATCTCTGGAATTTTCAGCTTGATTCCTATATAAACATGAAAATGAGAGCATTTATTTCAGTATTTATTGAACAACCCTCGTACCATTGACTTCCAGTAACATTATCTTAATGTGACATATTTTAACCTTTTACTGATCATTTGTAAGGTTTTAATATTATTAAAAGAGAGCATACCTTGGTCTCATAATGTCACCTGTCACATTTATATACAAAGGGTAGAATCCTTGTTGGTTCAAATTTTTCTGAAATACTTTGTCAAAACTTATCACAAGTATGTTTTCTATTGGTGGATTATTGTTAAGAACTGCAGCCGTAATCCAATTAAAAACATCTTCCTCATAGTTTTCACTTCCGGCTATCAGTACAATTCTTTTTGATGGGATTTTTCTCACTAAACACTTCAGTTCTTGAACAAAATTTGATTCTAAAATGTGTGAGATGTTGTTAAGGTACATCCTTCCATAAACAAATTTGAGGCTTGGATATACATAAGGAGAATTATCGAAATACTCTTTTTGTCCAAATCCTTTCTCGGGATTTATCAGTTTCACAGTAGTTTTGCAGCTGAAATTAGGAATATCAGCATTTTCATGTCTTCCCTCTTTATCACTTGGTTCTTTTGGTAAATCATTGTCTGATGGGTTTTCTTTGGTTGATGCGTGTTTATCATTTATGATGATTTCTCCAATGTAAGGATGTGAAACAATTTTCCCAGTAACACTTCTGTCATCAGCTTTTATTTCGTCCCTCATGAATTCAGTTGCTGAAGCAGACAAAACTGTTTGTTCAGAGTCATTCAGTGGTTTTGACACACCATTGTATGTTGACACTCCATTTTGTCTCAATAAATACCCCTCTGTAGATTCCCCACATAAAGTCATGTAACGGAATATCACAAGTCCCGATATTGCAAATAAACATAACCTCACTAAGGTTAACATCAGTTTGAAATTTGCTGTCATATTTTAAGGTAGGCCTAGCCTAGTATGATGTGCTTCTTTATACATGTTTTACATACTATACCAACAGATATATGTATGCCCACCTTAAGCTGTCTTGAAAGTTTCATTATGGTGCAAAAAGCATGTTGTATATATTTACATGTAATGTCTTTGTGCCCAAGGGAAACATACATCTTTATCATCTGCTAAAATTGCATATTACCCACAATCCCATTCCATTAACCATGACCCATGCTTAAATCTACTTATAATAAAAACTTTCTTCCATACCAGTTCTCCATTATGCATGTATATGTACATTGTTCTGCGTTTTGTTCCATGCTGATTCAACATTTTTTTCTCTCATTTTCATATAAGAACATAATCACCACATGCGAAATTTTATTTACAAGTCCATCAAATTAAAAATCCTTCGGCTATTTTCAAATTGACATAGAATTCAGACAAAAACAGTAACAATTTGTTATACATGTAGTTTGTTTCTTTGTGTGTATGTTTCACGAAAATTATTAGTGTTAGTTTTGGAAATGATACCAATAAAAGCTACATCTTTTATTAATTTCTTCTTTTTTTGGATGAACATCCCATAAAGAGTTTGGTTGATGTGAAGTATATTTGATGCTATTTTTGATTTTTTCAATTTTTTTTGTTAAATCTTGTCTTGAAGTTCCTAAGCTGTCATGGTATATCAATCAATGTTTCATTTACACTGTGATAAGCCAACCAATTTAATCCACTTAACCCAGGTATTTCAGTGGCATTCATGAATCCAGGAGCTAGATAGCTATAAACTACATCTTTGGAATGTGATACAACAACATCTTTTGAGTTATTTCTCTCACAAGTATCCCTACAGAACTGTTTCGCTGATAATGCCACAGCGACAAATCCATTTCTCGTCACACCACGTACTGAACCAAACATGATGGCACTGTCATTATAGGAGGTGAAGGTATAGGGTTTCTTAATTGTCCATGTGATGCCTTCCTCATGTAATGCACGGTTTATCAGGAGTTGGTCATCTGGGACACTAAAAACGCTCTCCCTGGCTATGCTGTCCCACAACTGATCTGCAAATAAAGAATTAAATGCACCTTTGAAAGGACCAGTCATAATGAACTAGGCTTGCACCTCAATCATTTGACTTATGATGTCAAACAAATAATGCAACCATAATCTACCAAATCGATTCAATATTTCTTAGGCATATCACTAAAATGGCTAAGATAAATTAAACTCACTCATTCTTTTTGAGTTCCTTAGCTCCACACTGCCCATGTTCAGTGTGAATCCGTATAACCTGCCAATATCTATAGGATATGTCCCAGTGGCAGCAACTATATCTGCAGCTTTAATTTCATCAAATACTTTAAGAGGGTTCTTCAGCGGGATAGCATCTAGATCAAAGTTGTCAATTTTTTCAAAGCCAACATAGTGGAATATTCTCCATATCACCATTCTAGCCACCCAGATGTTTTGTTTCCCTGATCTGAATTTCACCCTATGTTAAAAAAGAATCAAATTATCAGCTTAAATTGGGAATTTAAAATGGATTTTTGTTTTAGCAGATGTCTATGCCCGAGTCTCTAAACATTACCTCATTTGATATTTTCTATTTGTCGAAATGAGCAAAGCCTGAGGCATGAGGATGTCAAGGTTCTCACCAACATTTTACAGAACTATATTTTTACAGATATCAAACTTTAAATTGGGACTGAGTCCAAAGATAGCAGTATAACTTTGCCTCACCCATTGACTTTTGTCTCACCTCATTTTATACCCTGTCTCTGGCCTACATAAATAGGAACTCATAGGAATAGTGCATACATGTAATTTCTGTGCATGTACTTTACAGAAAATGTTGGTGGACCTCGAATCTAAAAACATGAACTTGGATAAATTTAAGGCCATTTAATCTCATGTTGTCTAAATGAACAATTTTACTTGGATGGGTTTTACTTATTGTACATGTGTATATAGTTTTATGTTAATGTCTGTAATAGAATGCATACCTTGGTCTCATAATGTCACCTGTCACATTAATATACAAAGGGTAGAATCCTCGTTGGTTCAAATTTTTCTGAAAAACTTTGTCAAAACTCATCACAAGTATGTTTTCTATCGGTGGATTATTGTTAAGAACTGCAGCCGTAATCCAATTAAAAACATCTTCCTCATAGTTTTCACTCCCAGCTATCAGCACAATTCTTTTTGATGGAATTTTTCTCACTAAACATTTCAATTCCTGAACAAAATCTGAGTTTAGAATAGTTGATATTTTGTTGAGGTAAAGTCTTTCATAAACAAATTTGAGGCTTGGATATGAATAAGAAGAGTTGTCGAAATATTCTTCTTTTCCAAATCCTTTCTCTGGATTTATCAATTCTACAGTTGTAGTGCAACTGAAGTTTGGTATGTCAGCATTTTCATCTCTTCCCTGATTATCAACGGATTCTTTTGGCAAATAATTATCTGCTGATTTTTCTTTGATTGTTGTGTCTTTGTCATCTATATTGTCCCTTATGTAAGGGTGTGTAATAATTTTCCCAGTTCCACTTCTGTTAGCCTTTATAATATCCATCATGAATTCAATTTCTGAAGCTAATAAAGCGGTTTGTTCAGAGTCATTCAGTGGTTTTGACATGTCATCATCTTTTGACATGTCATCATTGTGTGATGACACACCATTTTGTCTAAATAAATACCTCTCTGCGGATTCACCACGTAAAACCTCCCATGGTAACTTATCTTCTGTCTTATCAGTGTTTATCACTGGTGCTTTTCTGTCTTTAAATAACTCAAAAAAGGTCTCTGATATTTCACCACGTTTCACTCCCCATTCTCCCTGATCGGCAGGAATTCCCTCCCCTCTTGCAGAAATTCCCTCCCCTCCTGCAGAATTTTCCTCTTCCTCTCCAAAGTTATTTCTGTCTTGGACTTTATTCATCACATCTATTGATTGTTTTTGATTGTTCTGTATATATGGGGTCCTTTGATTCCAAGATGTCACCAGCTCTATGTAACGAAGAATCACAAGCCCTGATAGAGCAACTAAGCTTAACCTCACTAAGGTTAACTTCAGTTTGAATATTGCTGCCATGTTTTTAAGTTAGGCTGAGTGTGATATCCTTAGAGCTTTTGCACATACATTTACATACTGCACTTATATGTAAGAGGTATATGAGTGCCCACCTTAAAGCTGTCTTGAAAGTCTTATAATCTCCATCTCCATCAATAATCTATAAAAGGCTAAGAAGCCCATTTAAAGCAGATATATGGTTTAGCAGTCTAGTAGACTAGTAGTACAAAGCACAAACTTTATTCAGCCTGTAAGTCACAAGGGGGAAAATTTCTTCTCCCGCAAGTTTTTTATGGTTAGCAATGCTAATTACACCTTGAAATGCCTCTTCATCTAGTTGAATGTTTATTCAATTAGCTGTTGAATTTATTACTCTCAGATTTGATAGTTTGATTGTTGCAAATATGTCTTCCAATCCAATTTTTCAACCCTCTTGTTAGGTTTCTTATCTATTCATTTTTTACACAAATTATAAAAGCATCTAGCATCTTACAGGTATTCTCTTAACCTAGGTCATATATAAATCTCTGTAGTATAAATCAACATGTAATGTCTTGGTCCTCAAGGCAAACATACTTTTCATTATGTGCTATCTGATCATCAGTCCTAAGCCCATGAATAGAATTACTCAAATCTTTCTTCAATACCATTATGCGTGTTATTGCCTTTTTCTACTCTGCTCTTGATTCAAATTGCAAATTGGCATTTTTGTTTCTGTCGATTGGTGTTCTAATCTTATCCAAAAGCAATTAAGGCTTTTGAATGATGCAATTTAATGGGTGACACAGACAGCTTACATGTACATAGAAATCTATGAAGCAGAAAACCTCTACAAGTAGAACACCTATAGTCAGTAGAACACCTCCCAAGTGGAACACTTTTAGAGGTACCAAAGGTGTTCCACTAAGACAGGTTTTACAGTATTTTGAATTTTCAGCTGTGATGTGTAAAACTGACAAAAGAAACATAGTTTGGAAATGATATCAATAAAAGGTGTAGTCTTTTTCTTGTTATAATAATAATTCCAAAATATTTTTTATTTCCATATATTTCCAGCTCTTTGACAAAGACAATTACATCAATAAAAATGCTCAAGAATACCTCTTTACAACTGAGGGCCACATTCTTCCAGTAAAATATGAGTACAGAAAACATACTTCCAACCTATTTTTCAACAAAGAATTCAAGAGTATACGACGGAAGATTCTACAGGATGAGGAAAAGGAAGAATTCCAGTCTGATACTGTAACAGTAGATGCTAGAAATAATAATTCCACCTTATTTAATGTAAGTACTGTGAAGATATTTTTTAAAATGTATCTATCATCTAAACATCTTCTTTATCAAAACTTGAATAAAGCTCACCTAGAATATGAATGAAAGATACAGCGCTTGCATTAGGTTAGAAAATTTGTGATCCCAAGGACGCAATTTTTTTAAAAAGTGTGTCCTTTGAAAAAAAAAGTGTGTCCCCTATTTCTAGCCTGTTTTGAGGTATAACTTTATTTTAAAAGCATTTTTTACCAAAACACCTTGAAGTTAATTAATCTTGCCGCGAATTTAAAACGGAAGTAAATGTTAAGTACGGACTGAATAAATGCATGTTCGTTCATTCGACAATGAATACATTTTATTTCATGAATAACCTAATATTTGTTTCTGAATAGGAAAAACTGTGGCGTGTCATGGTTTCAAATCTAAAAATAAAAATAAACAAAGTCGAAAAAATTCGAGAGAATCATGATTATTTGTAAATATTCAACATGTTGAGCCTTATTTACGATTCAAATAAAGGTGAGAGATCATAATTATTTGTTTTTGTTAGGTATCGTTGTAAACACATTGTAGTATTGACCTAAAAAATTTTGCGTCCAAAAAACGGAAATATTTTCAATTTTTGCGTCCTCCAAATTATTTTTGAGTCCTTAACATGTACGGGACGCCGTTAATGCAAGCCCTGAAGATATAATAGATTTTAGGTCATAAAAGTTAGTTCCCTATTTAAAGTACATATGTATTTTTTTGTATTTTAACATCATATATCACAAAATCATCAAAACAATATGATAAAAAGATCTAATTTGTACTGGGTCTATCATAATTTACAAATGTACTTATTATGCATTATTTTTTTAGTGTAAAAAAATACCAGAAGAAAGGAGACACTTTCTACCCATAAAGAACCGATACCTCCAGCAGCTTGAACTTGCAGTTGGATTGGATATTGACTGAAACCTAAGAAACTAGGATACCAATGATGCTTAATTGAGAATGCAGGATAATAATGATACTTAAAATGGCTTGGTTTCTCACTTGACCATAGCGCAATACTAGGTATCTTCGCATTGAATGACTTACCCTGTAATCCTAAAATGTGCAGATTGTTTTCAAACATAATGATCCATCAATATACTTTTAAACAAATGTTCAGACACAAATGTAATCAAATCTTAAGAATTCAACTTGCAATGCACCATTTAAAGGATTGTGTAAGGACCCCACGCAAAGAATGTGGGAAATTTGACAAGCATTATTGTCAGTTGGTGGAACTTCGACATAACACTTTGTCCCAGGAGTAGGCTTTTTTAAATGCATATTCCTGGTGATCTGAATTTTGACCCTATTTAATGTGCCATTTTTGCTAACTATGTTTCTCACTATAAATTAACTAATTATGTTGCTCTCAGGGTAGAGCATTTGAAAGCTCAATTTTGATTTTGTCAAAATCCCCATGCCTACCTGCACGGGGTCTCACACAAACCTGTGAATGGTGCATAAAAGACATGATAAGTTGCTCACCTTGTATTGTCGAGGTTCTCCATGTTCCCAGTTGTCAAAGAGACCAACTGTCTCTTTGCTCACTCTTTTAATATGAAATCGGACTGTTTAAAAACATTTCAAAGATGTATACAATTTCAGCAAAAAGTTGTACAAGTTTTGACAAAAAATCAGAAAATACTTAAATCCAAGAAGATCATGCATATGTTCTTTATTTCATGTTATTATATTTGTAGGAATGTAGAATTCCACTTCATGGATAATTTCAGTTTATCCGTACCGTAAATAATTTACTTACTGATGTACATCTAGCCTTGCCCAAGTCGGTCTGTTTACTTATCTTGATTTCTATTATGACTGCCGCGGTAATAATTAAGATCAGATAAGTAAAAAATACTGACTTGGGCAAGGCTAATGTACCTCTATAGATATAATATATATATATTTTTGATGATATATTTTGGATGAAAGGAGATATATGTATATTACAAGTACATGAGTGTAGCTAGAGATGAGGCATGCGAGTCAATTGCCTCACCAAAATTTAACCATGAAAATAGTCTTAAACTCAAATTTTGCCTCACCTTTTTAAATCTGCCTTGCCTGTTTTGAAATTCTGGCTACATCCCTATATTGTTTAGTTAAGTTATAAATCTAATGATTTTAATAGAGAGTACTATGCCTAATGCAAAGAGATGTGATGCAAAGACCACAATGTCTCAACTCGTGCCGACAACTTCATGCATTTAAAGAATTCATGTATTTACAGAGTAACCGAAAAATGCATGCAACCCTCAAACTTTTCAATTAGGATTGAGTCTTCTTGAATTTTCTTGTGTAGATAAAGTAATGAGTTCCTGAGGGTTGCCTTTTTATTATACGTTATAATTGTTCCCTTCACTAAAACTGTTATCACCAGACATTTTTGTATTATATGCCTTTTTGTTAACCAATGTACAAACTATTTTGACTTCATATAGAACAGGTGATGGTACCTTAATGATTTCTCCCTGTTTTGGATCTTCTTTCTATGTTTCCATCTGCTAAACATTTTTCACAAGATACATACATCAACTTAATGATTCTTTGTTTTCTTCTTTAGAATGGGTATCAAATGTAATAAAATGTGCAATAAGGATCACCATTTATCTCATACTTAGGGAGGTTTTAGGAATTAAATAGATGAGCATTTGGACCACTTGGATCACATGTCTGGTTAAAACCAGAATAAACTCTGAAGATAAATGAGAAACTCTACTTTGTATAAGATAAAGCAGTGATTGATAGCCAGTTTCAGATACAGGATTCATTCCCCGGAAAACCAGAAAATATTTAAATCTACCCCCTCCCCTTCAGTGTTCCTTCAGTGCAAAGATGCAAATAGTTCCCTTGGGGTAAATCTTGAATCAAATTACCCACTCATATTTCAGCCACTTGAGGTGTTGATAGATAAGCTTCTAGCAGTGTGTGTGTGGGGAGGTACTTGCTGGGGGGGGGGGGTACTGTAATGCAGTAAGTTGTCGGAGAATAGATTTTAGATTATTTACATACATTACTATTGCATTGACTTTGCTCATTGGTAGGAATATTTTGATATAAAATGGACAAGTCTTCCAAATAAAATCCATGATTATATATACAGAGCAGCTGTTAATTTGCAGTAGATGAATATATACAATACTGCATATTTTGTAGTAGCACTTTCATATACAATATTGCTTATACATGTACTTGCAACTTTATAGTCTATATACATGTATTTGCCTCTTTATATACAATATTGATATAGATTTACATGTATAGTCAAAACAGTAATGTTTGTGACTACTTTGAATTAAAAAAATAAGCAATCAAATGACCATCTTGAAACAGTTTATGTAAAAATGGAAACATTTATATTTCTCCCTAACTTTTGTATATTTTAGTTTGTTTTCTAGTTTAGCTATCATATCTGTGTCCTCTTATATTTTGAAACTTCTCTGCCATGTTATTTTCGGAAAAATTAACATGGCTGAAACTCCCTAAATTACAAAAGGCCACAGCTTTGCTGCACATTATACATTACTATCTGTAATAAACAAAAGTTAGGATAAATATAAATGTTTCTATTTTTACATAAACTGTTTCAATATGGTGATTTGATTGCTTATTTTTAAAATTCAAAGTAGTCACAAACATTACTGTTTTGACTATAGAGTCATCTTCATATACAGTATTGAATTTAACCTACATGTATTTGCCTCTTTATATACAATATTGATATAGATGTACATGTAGAGTCACCTTCATGTACAGTTTTGAATTTAACCTACATTTGCAACTTTATATACAATATTGTGTATACTTTACACATACTGTAGATTGGGTTAATTTGGCGCTACTTAATTTGGCGATTTTGTCATTTTTGGCATATTGGCGGCTATTTAATTTGGCGGATATATGCAAAAAATGTTAATGCAATGTTAAATTTATGTGCTGTTTGCGATTTATAAACCATGTAAATGGGCATGTTTGGCTATGTTCATTTTTCTTTTGAGGACCACTGGCGATATTCACCACGTTTGTACATTTTTGTGAGATCATCCTTTACATTTTGCTCCTTGATCGATGCTGCTACTATACTGCGCTTTTCCGTTCTAGTTTTTCCCTGAGTATTAATGAGTGACTGACCAGTTCTGAGCCAAATTATGAGAGACATTTTTCATATTTTTGGAAAAAAATAAACCGAAAGTGACCTAAATACACTAGACGAAATACCCTCGATTATTCCCGGGGATTCATTCTAAATTTTGGCGAAGATTTATATTAGCGAATTTTTCAATTTCGCCAAATTCGCCAAATTAAAGCGGGCGCCAAATTAACCCAATCTACAGTAGTTGAACCATTATATATACAGTATAAATATGCATATGTACAATATTGATATAAATATAATTGCACCTTTATTTACAATATTGCATGTACCCATGAAGTTGCAAAATGTTGCCTTTACTATTTGAATCATTACATACAATATTGAGGTAAATGTAGTTGCACCTTCATATATACAATATTGCAAATACACATGTACAGTAGTTGCACAATATTGATGTAAATGTAGCTGCACCTTTATATTAAATGTTGCATATAGACATGGAGTTGCACCTTCATGTACAATATTGCCTATACTGTACACATAGTTGAACCATTACATACAAATATTGATGTAAATAAAATAAAGAAAATATTTTTCAAATTTTTTTCCGCGGAAATCTGGGCCCTGCACCTTGTTAGCTCCTGGATCTGCCACTGCATGTACTTTAGAATGGAGTCGCTTCTTTATATTTTGATGATTCCCATTATATATTTGGAAAGAATTTTCAACAACATATTTTCTGATTGATGTATATACAGTATTACAGATTTCTCTTGGTTTTGGACAAATTTTGTGAATTCATGTTGAATTTTTTCAAATTGTCCTAGACTCCCTCCCCCGTGAGGGAAACAGTTCATAAGGGGGACATGAAGCAAGAGAAGATTGTTCGTAGCCCATGTTTACATTTTATGTTGTATTCAAATGACAAATATCCTCGAACTCAAGTGGCAAAAAATTATCAAGATTATTTTATTTTTGATTATTATTTTAATTGTTTAGTGAAGGTATTAGCTACTTGTGTAACATTTTTCGGAAAAAAATTTAATAATCCAATTTTAATGATCCTCCCCTGATGCCCCTTGTATTATGTAAAAATACAGACATTTCCAATTAGCAAGATTACTTTAAAAAATTAGGCAGACTTATAGAAAAGCCAAATGCCTAAATTTTTTATACCTGATTTAATTTATTGTTTATTTCATTGTTATGTAGCTTATTGAGAAAATACAATTCAGGGAAAATTAGAGTGACTTTTTATAAAACATGGATTGGTATGTTCATTATGAACTATTCTTGTACATTGATTTATCATATGCCATAATGTAACAGGTATTGTTACATGATTTCAAAATGATTGCATAAATTACCATTCATATATGTATGTATTTTATGTTGATTTACTACACAAAGTTATAAAAATAAAAATGTTTAACCCTAAATCATTTTGTGCATTAATTTATATATACAATTAGATGTACACAATTATTTGTTCAAATATACTTAGCAAATTGAATAATGTTTTAGGCACAAACCCTTATCATAGCATATTCCTTGTTATTGTGCCAATTTTCGTCAAATGTCTAGAGTTCTGAGTCAGATTTCATTTCATTATAATAGTTTCACTGGCAACAATTGTATGTATTACTATTTTTTTCATTTTATAGTCATATCTCTGCAAAACTTCTATATTTGATCAAATATCTCAAATCTTTTTTGAGATAATAAATTTAGGGTTGGAAGATAAGCAAATGCTATTTGCACAGATTGCTTGAAACATTTTACACTTTCTATCCTGTCTTGTCAGTTCAACACTTTTTAACATAAATAATTTTTCACCCAAAGAATAATCCCATATTTTGTTACATTTGATACATTTCGAAAAAAAGAAAATTAAACTCGATGAACATCATATACCTATTTAATCCGAGACAAAGTATTGCATACTCAAGTTCAACCATGGTCAGCTCAAAAAAGCTTTTTGTTTGAACAAAGAGAAAGTGAAAGTGAAAGTGAAAGTGATCGAATAAAAAATGACCCGTCCCAATAACTGTGTAAAGGGGAATCCCCGTAACTGACCATGAATCACGGAACTACATTATATTCATCCGCATTGATACAACCTTTTCCTTGATTAGAAGCGTTCGAACCTCGTATATATGAATAACTAATACATTTAAATTAGTTGGAATTAATAATTCACCATTAACTTTTGGAATACTTTGTGAGAAAAGCAGTTTAAGAAGAAATATATTCTGGAGTGGATGGGCATTGCAATTCCACAAAAACATAGTAATTCGGCTAAAAACAGGTACGATTTTCTGAATTTGGAGATAATTTGCTCGTTTGTGTCACCATCACTCTATCGCAAGCATTAACGTGCTATTTACATATACTTCTAAAGACGAACATTCGTATTATCATAAATGGATACAGGTTTATTTATTGTAAGCAACAAAATATCGAATAACCAGTTTCAATATTTTATCATTTTCAGAGTTTTCAAGATGGCCACATCACTTTTTCCTGAGACTGGTGAAACGGCACATAAGCAAGCGAAGGAGGAGCATTCAATAGTAGATGACTTTATGTATGGTTCCAATGTCGCCACATCTCACGTTTACGTTCGTATGGGTAGGTTAATAGTAAATAATGTAAATGTTCAAGGCCATTACTATTTTTTTCATGGCCTGAGTTCGTCGCTAACATGCTAAACATAAGAGTTAGCTGACGTTTGGGAGTCTGACTTACCTTCTAAAGGTTAGAACCCGAATCTTAATGAAACCATATCACATTTGTTCCGTCAACCATGGAGCATTTGCCACAACATCCAAGAAGTAAATCATTGACCGTGAAAATGAATGATTTCCTTGTAAGTTCCGGAAGTTTCAATACGAAAAATTACCGAACATATGTGAAAACCGAATATTTGTTCGTTGTTTTCACGATTTACAGGTTCGTTTGTTCTCCAATGTTTTGGTCTAAATTATAAAGCATCACCAACAGGTCTTACTCTATTAATCGACTAATACAGCAGACGGCTCATATTTCTACTTAGCATTTCGTTCAGACCAATAGTGGGAGTGCAGATCACGCAGTTTAGTTCGTTGCGTACTTCACTTGAAATTGGTAATTTTAAATATTGGCTACTTCACTTAGCTTGGCGGATGTAGAACATTGCTTAATATTCTTTTAATTTTCACACCAGACATGCTTGGTTGACACATCAACAAAGTAAAGTTCAAGGGTCAATGCGTTATTTCGTGATAACTACAACGCCTTCCCGGAAGTCAACATTGATGAAAAATGAAAAAGTCGGAAAAGCATTTACACTAACTTCTATCAAATGCTGTGTTTATGCATCATCATCGACGCAACAAAGGTGATATGGTTTCATTAAGATTCAGGTTCTAACCTTTAGAAGATAAGTCAGACTCCCAAACGTCAGCTTACTCTTATATTTAGCATTATAGCGACGAACTCAGGCCATAAAAAAAATAGTACTCAAGTGGTAGACTGAATCCTTCGTCTGAATATTAAAGTGTGGACCAATAAAACTCAACCATCAAAAGTTGTCACAATGAGCTAAATTCTAAGTTTCGTGTCTCAAACTCTCCCAAGCTGCAAAATAATTCTCAATTACATGTGCGACAGCATGTAATTTTCATAGCTTTTGTAATTCTTTATGTTCCCCACTGTATATTCGGTCTATTGGATTGTACTCAAGTGGGGCTTCTCCGCGTAGCAGTCACAGCGGCACTGTGCCATTACCAAAATATGGGTTAAAGTATTACTTAACCTGGAATTCGTTTTTTTTACGAATCAAGATGTATTTTTGTTTTAAATTAAATTAAAAGTAAACTGGGGATCATTAACAGAACTTTTGCAAAGTTATGAATTCGCAAGTCAATTGTTAATTTTACGAATTTGGTAAATGTGCATTAACAGAACTTTCGTAAAGTTACGAACGATTCGCAAAGTTACGAAAAAATGATGTCACGTATGCTTTCGTTCGTAACTTTAATAGCACCTCAGACCCTTTCATAACTTTGCGAATGGCATATTTCTTATCCAGTTCTTATGTAAGGTATACAGGTTGGCAGAAATAAATTGTTCTTTATATGCATGCTAAATTTCAAGCTAAAATATCCACCCATTCTTACATGATAAGCAAATATATTCCTGAGCTGGGAATCTTTGAAATCGCGGACACAGGTTTAATAACAGCGCACAATGATATCAAATTACATCATATTTCTATTTGTGCTAAATAATGATATAGGATGACGTCACAATTTGAAATTCATTAACGAACGATAAAACTTATGAATGACTTACGAAAGTGTTCTGTTAAAGGCCAATTCGTAACTTTACGAATTCGTAAGTCATTCGTAACTTTTCAAATATCTATGAATTTCATAAAATTACGAATTCGCGAAAGTTCTGTTAATGACCATCAGTGTCTGTATCCAGGGTTTACCTTCTTTCTATCGAATGGTGTATCACTATTCTGGCCTTTCCTAAGTAATATAGCCAATAATACATGTTCATTCACCAGATTTTACTTGTGCTTTCACTTTCTTCAAATTCTTGCTGTTTATGAATAGAATAATATTAAACATCCCTTAAGTGCCAAATGACTACTCATTTCAAGAATGGTCTTTCAAGAGGAAAGGTCTCTTGAAAGCCCATGCAACAAGCAAACCATTTTCTAGTATAGAGTTCAATTACGCTATGTGCTGAAAAACCAATTCTTTCATGCCACTCTATGTTTAATCAATGATCTGTGATTGATTCCAGGATTTTTGCGGAAGGTGTATGGAATTCTTACTACCCAGCTCGTGTTGACAACTATCGTCGGAGCGCTGTTTATGACAGTTGACCCAATCAAAGGATTTGTCAGAGAAAAGTAAGTACTCCGAAATACAGTTGTGTCCCAGGCATAAAACATTTTGATTTTTTCTCACAAGTCACACACAGGGCTCAGTAGCTCTCGTAAAAAACTGACTTTGATCAAATACCATCTCCTCAATCTATAAAGTGACCTTTATTATATCTTATTGTAATTAAAAGCTAAACAAGCAATGACTATGTTTCAAGAGATAGCCACAAAACCATAGGTTCAGCAAAATATAATAGTTTTGGTAAACTTGAAAAATTATTCTTGGGGGATTGAGCTCTAAGTTTACAAAATAACAATTTTTTCTGTTTTTTCAAACAATTTCCATAGAATTTTCCCAGGCTCTTTTATCCAACGTTTTGTATTAAATATTCCAGTAACTGGTTGATGGGTATTGCTGCATTTGGAAGTCTAGGCCTTATATTTGCTTTGATGTGGAAGCGACATGAGACACCAACAAACTTCTATCTATTGGCAGCATTTGTAAGTACATGTATTGGTGTCTTAAAACGTTTTATTTATATCATCTATATATCTGACTCGTGAGGAATAACTGAATAGTCAATTGATATTTTAGTAAAACTGCATACCTATTGAAGGTGCACAAGTATTTGGTGGCCTAAAATGTAGGTCTGATGTGTGAAGATAACATCAGTTTTAGTTTGGAAACTTCACATGTTCTCTTAATTTTTTTTGTAATCTGGAACATTGGAAATGAATTGTAGCATAATGACAACTATAACATCTGTGTTGTTTAATAAATCGTCATATTTAGAGGTGGCTTCAAAGTATAAATGTCTGATAGGAAGTTAAATAAAATTAGTTTTGACCTTGTCTGTCCCAAGAAATAAAATATGAGTTTTAAAGACACACCATTGCTCTTCTCACTTTTATTTCCTTTGTAATTTCCATGGTCATAAATGTTCTATCAATCTGTTATGTTCTACTGTAAGTATTTGAATGGCGTAGGTAGTAGGGATGTCACTGTTTCTCGATATTGTCCTGTCCCTCAGGACTTTGGTCTCAGGAGGGTACAGGACGGGACAATCCTTGTGTACTGAAGAATTTGGTCCATGTTCAGGATGTACTATTTCTCCTGTATATGACCCTAAAACTTCCCAAATGCTCGACAAATATGATCTAAACTAGAATTTACTTTCGTTTTTGCAACTTATCTGCCGGATTACGTTCATGTGTAAATGCCATCTAGTGGCAATTACTATAAGTGATTATAATAAACGAAAATTCAGGTAAAATCTTTATTTTTAAACCATTCCAAGGCATTTTGAGTCAAAATTGCCAAAAATTTGAAATGTTGAAATTTGTCGAATAGCAAACTGAAATGGGTTTGAACCCCCTCCCCCCCTAACTAGATTTATTTAGTTTTCTATCCGACATCAAACTTTTGATGCCTCCCCTTATTAACTATTTTATTGGTTATGTCCCGTCCCATCCCTAAATGGATAATTCCCATCACGTCCCAAAATATTTTTGTCCCGTGACATCCCTAGAAGGTAGCGACTCATTTATATGTTTAGGAAAACTAAATTTATTTAGTGTCTTATCACACATTGATATTTTGATGCCACCCTTTATATCATAGATGTCTAGTCAATATAGAGTCAGTGTTCAATTTCATTTCAGACTGTAGTTGAGGCCTACACAGTGGGTGTCATCGTGACATTCTATGATGTACAGGTTGTGATCGAAGCATTTGCTCTTACAACTGGTGTAACAGTGGCTTTGACTATTTACACTCTACAAAGCAAAAGAGATTTTAGCTCTATTGGAGCAGGGTATGTTTAGTGTTTTCTTGTAAACTGTCAGTGTTTAATCTGCAAACGAGGGATATATTAATGATAAGCACCCAGGTATTGCGACCATATAATTTGTATATAAAATAATAAGAACATGAAAATTATATTACCTTTTCCCAGTACTCATTCAGTTGATAATTTTGATATTTTGGGTATTTTGATCAGTTTTGAATATTTCTTTTGTCAGCCCAGCTAGAAATTTATAACACTGTATTGCATTCTACAATTATCACTCATTATATATATTATTATCGTATGATCTGTAAAATGACGGCCCCTGATTGGTCAGTTCTTGTGCTGTACCAATTTGTATTGCTACTGAAATTGTCTATATTGATCATCTCCTCTCGTTCCAATACAGAATTTCTCGAGCAGAATATATCCTCTATTGTACTTCAAATCATTCAATAACTTATATTATCGTATGCTTTGTAAAATGAAGCCTTCTGATTGGTCAGTTCTTGTGCTGTACCGATCTGTATTGCTACTGAGATTGTCCCCATTGATCATCTCCGTTGCAATACAGAAAATATTGGTACGGAGGGGACATTCTCAGTAGCAATACAGAGGATCACACGTTAAAAACATTATAGAATGATTTGAAATGCAACACAGGATATATTCTGCTCTCGATATTCTGTATTGGCACTAGACTTCATCTCGTTCCAATACGGAATTCTGGAGCAGAGTATATCCTGTATTGCACTTAAAATCATTCAATAACTTATATTATTATTTCCATGCAGTGATACTCATTCTCTCATTGGTCAGTTAGATACCATGTGAATAAAAATATATAGAGGTATTCCATATCTCCCTGCTTAGAAAATGTGTGAAGAGTGTATTCACCGGCAGTGACGTCATTTTTAGTGAATACCACTATATATTCAATTAAAATGACGTCACATCACTTAATTCCCGGGAATTTAGTAAAAAGTATTTTCATCCAATATGACAGACAGTGAAGTTGTATCAGGCAGTCATTCTAATAAAAGGTTCAATACTGTATAACAAACACAGGATAAAGATTTTATAAATGTATTCAAAATGTCAACTATTAAAAGTACGAAGACTATGGACTTTAACATGGAAGATCTAAATCTAATTTTTATATATTATGGTGTGACAGAGATCGTGATTTATAACGGAATATTGGCAAACATTTAGAAATACGTTGAAACTAAACTTCATATCATAACAATATTGTATACTTCTAACTTTAATATTGTGTGCTACTTTAATGAGGAAATAATAAAACAAATATTGAATTCTGTGATCATTTAATATCTGTATATATTTCTTTAGGATTGTATTCACCTCGCCACGGTGAATACACCTTCAGAAATATATACAGATATTCAACTCCACAGAATTCAATATTTGTATTTCATAAATTGTATATACAGGGTGTCAAACGGTGTTGTGCCCCCCTTCCATGGCATAAACTAGGAAAGATACACACATATACCATATACCATTGGAAAAAGCATTTAATTGTTGTTAACATGTGAAAAGATGAAGATGCATGATGGAAAATAAGATATATTTTCAACTTACTTTTAAAAGTGAGTATGACCCCCTTGGGCAGCCTTAACTGCTGCCAAATTAGCCGGATATGAAGCTAAAGGGGGATGGGAAAGGGCTGTGTCTTTCTCAAGAGATTTTAATACTTCGTAATGAAACTAGCACCCTCATTCTCTATATGCAATACACCTTATTCTGTCTCTATATTGCTGATTATCATCATCAAAAAGTTGTTTTGTCACCTTTATTTCAACTGTGAACTAGCTTTAGTCTAAATAAATAAAATAAGGCACTACACTTTACAGTCAGCCACTTCTCAAAAATCAATGAAATAGAGCACTACACTAGTACATTTCAAATGCATGTGACACTATGTAGTAATATCTGACCTAGGTCATCTAGGGTTTATTTTATCCAGAATTGAATGCTCTTTCCAATGACATACATAATGTGTAGGTACCTTTCTAAGTTCATGCTATGGAAGGGGGGCACAACGCCATTTGACACCCTGTACTAGTGATAATTGCTGTATTGGAATATTTTTGTTTATCTGCAGATTGTTTGCTTGCCTCTGGATTCTTATCCTGTCAGGATTCTTGCAGGTATGTATTAAATGAGGTTGTATTGAATCATGTGAAGTGAATGAGTATATATTGAGTGAATATGTATTGAATGATAATGTATTGAATCATATGTAGTGAATCATATGTAGTGAATGACTAGATTATATTATCATATTAGATGAATATGTATTGAACGATAATGTATTGAATGAGAGTGTGTTGAATCATATGTAGTGAATGAGTATATATTGAATGATAATGTATTGAATGAGAGTGTGTTGAATCATATGTAGTGAATGAGTATATATTGACTGAATATGTATAGAATGATAATGTATTGAATCATATGTAGTGAATGACTACATTATATTATTATATTAGATGATTATGTATCGAACGATAATGTATTGAATGAGAGTGTGTTGAATCATGTAGTGAATAAGTATATATTGAATGAATATTTAATGCATTAAATTAGTATGTGTTGGATGAGAATGTATTGAATAAAATTGATAACTATTTCATTTAGGTTTCATTGAGTCCTTAGTCATTGATTTACATATGTAGTATGTAGCATTATTGATATGTCTCTTAATCATAAACTTTGATATTTTCCAGTTCTTCTTCATGAGCCCATTCTTGGACCGTGCGATAGCTTTCGGTGGTGCTTTGGTATTCTCTCTCTTCATAATCTTCGACACACACATGCTGATGCATAAATTATCCCCAGAGGAATATATTCTCGCTTCGATCAATCTATATTTGGATATTATTAACCTGTTCCTATACATCCTGAGGATCTTGGGAGAAGCAAGGAAATAAAACATTCCAAGGTGCCTTGGTGGAGTGAGAAGCGAGATTGGAAAATTTAAGTATATACACAGACAGTGTGTTAGTTGAAAATGTTCGTGAATCTTGTCCTGATTGTCTAGAACATTTTAATATTAGTTTTTGAAAAGCTCAAAATATAAAATGAACTAAGTTAGTTTAATTTTGATAAATATTTAATTTGTATATTTCACACAGGGGTATAGTCATCACATGGCCACTCAGGCTATGGGACGCTTGATTAATAATAATAAAATTGTTTCATCTTTGCGCTAAAATTAGAATGCTAAAACCTTGCCCCTTAAATTGTGTATGGTATCTTTGTCTTTAAAACGAAGCTGAATTTGTTTTCTTTTTCAAAAATTGATGTAACACTAAAAGAAGATCACATGATGAACTGTTCTTTCATGTTTGAGCATCAAACTCTAAAATATATATTCCAGTGATGGATAATGGTCTATGTATAGACTTGTCCATGGTTTTGTTTTTTCGATTATTATGCTTCAGTCACGTTTGATCTATGGCAAAAGTATGGCAGTCGTAGCTTCCCAAAATCGAGAGAAATATGCAGCATAAAATGTAGGGATAAGCAGTACGATGTAGATTTTCCACATCGATTTTTTAAAGCTACTTCCGCCATTTACCCGCCATTATTAAGAGCAAATGTGACTGAGGCTCAAGTTATAGTGCAGCAAGCCTGTAAAGATATTAATTAAAAACTTTATGGATATCCTTAAAAACTTAATGCCTATCCATGAGTTAAAAATTCTCAACTTTAAACAGGCTTAAAAATGTTATGTTCTTGAACTTGATAAAATTCTGCAATTTGCAGATCGATCATCAATGGATTTTACTGATATTGTGTGAATAGCAAACAGGACAAATATGAATCAAAATATAGTGAGATTATAGTCACTTATATAATGCTGTTGTATCTGCCTCAACAATGTTAACATAGTGTTAAACCTTGTACTGTGGCAATGCATGGAAATAGCCAGGCATGGGTCATTAACAAGGTTTTGAGGCATTACCAAAGTTTTGAGGCATTACCAAAGTTATGAGGCATTACCAAATTTAGGAGGCATTACCAACGTTTTGAGGCATTACCAAAGTTATGAGGCATTACCAAATTTAGGAGGCATTACCAACGTTTTGAGGCATTACGAAAGTTTTGCAGAAACATATTTGTTTCACTCAAATTGTGAAAATTAACTTCAAAGGTAGTAATATAGGCCTACCGGCTTCTCTAGCTTAAATTGACCTCAGCTATCAACTTTTGCCTCACTAAATTTTATATCCTGGCTATGCCCATGTGTAGCCTCACCAGGTACATCTCATTAAAAGAATAATATTAAAGAGGATTAATATGAATAATATATAGGTGAAAAATGTAAAACAAAATGTATATAATAGTTTATAAATGAAATATAGTGCAGTGAAGAAGGTGGAAATATGATAGCCATAATGTATTTTGTTCTCTGTAAAGTAACAATAACAAAAAATAAATGTATTTGTGATTTAGTTAAGTGTTTATTTCACTTTCAGTCACCCTCAGTCATTGGGTATAGAGTGCAAAATATTGCACCAGCATATTTAAGTTTTTGTTTACGTATCTACATATTTGAAGTCTGCTCAGAATATTGTTCCATTTTTCAAATCATCTAACCTTAAGCGAATAAAAATAGCTAATATGCTATAAAATGCTTTGATGTACAGCACATATAAAAATAAAAGATGTACATTTTGTGGATTTAGCAGTATAGCTTATTCTTACATGTCGTTGGGCAAAATAAAATGTACAAAATAAGCAAGGGAATTAATTGTTTGTTCTTTTTGTGGTAATCCTAAGTCATATTCTGAGAAAGCAACACAAAGGGCAACATTATAAAGCAAAGCCCAAAACCCCTATAAACCCTTAAAATGGATTACACCGACCCATGGAAGACAGTATATTTTGTCCCTTAAAATTCTAGACAACTCATACATTTAAAATAAAACAACTCTTCAATTTCATTTTTTGGGAAAATTGGGTCCATGTTTGAATATTCTGTGCTTTTTGGACAATATTTGGAATGATATGTGTACTGACAGGATGTAATCATTGTAAATTCAATGATATCTGAGCACTCTATCATACTATGATTTCAGTAAATTATTGCTGTTTATATTGGCATAAAAATCACTGTGATGTCATAGAGACCACTGTGATGTCATGGAGACCACCACTGTGGTCTCAGACTTGTCATCTCAGATGTCACCTAGAGTCAATACCAGGGGATTCTAGCCCATGGCTGGTAGCCTTACTATTCTCTGTATTGTCTCCAGAGCCTGTATGGCTAGGTGTGTGTATATTCAATTGTTCTGTTTGTGATGTCATAGAATCAATTGTGTTCTCCTCAGATTGAACCAATGAGGCTGCTTGCTCAAGTTCAACAAGGTCAAAGTTCACATCCTCTTTGCTGACCTCAACCTGGAATATAAATTTTAAAGTGAACAGATGTGGTTCAAAGTCATGCTGCACACTTTTTGAAAAAGTCAAAACTCCCTAGTGAAATGGTTTTCTTTTATGCCTTGGTCACATTTGCTCCAATTTTCACTACAGCGCCCGGCCGATTGAGTATTTTGTTCAAAACAAAATTGAATACAATATTGAGCAAAACACTCAATCTGCCAGGCGCCGGCCGATGGATCTGAGCAAATGCGACCCAGGCATTATAGGGGTGAATTTGAAATTTGAAAAAAATTTGCATGACTTACAGGAACACTAAGCTAGGGATCATACTTTTTCTCAAAGTGTTACAAAACCAAGTGAAAAGTACATATTAAAGCATTTGATCGAATCATTACACAATTTTGTATTGCACGTAATACTATGAGGAAACAATCATTCATAAATCATCCTACCTCTGCCAGACTTGTTGCAAATGACTCTAGTTTATTTGAGCTGACCGATTGTATCCATACGCAATAGTCTGTGATGTAGAGGTCATTCAGGATATACCTGGGGTCACTCTCCATGAATATGGAGTGGATCTCTAGCAAACACTTCAGCAGCCTTGTCTTCCCTGAAATCAAATTATAGTACAAGGCATGGAGGCATTAACATGCAAAATGTTAAAACCTGCCATTTGTTACAGATGTTGAGCGCAGAGTGCTAACCACCAAACACCACCGCTGAATACCATCCACAAAAAAGTTGGAGAACATAACAATATGACACAAAAACCTGTGTACTTGGAACACATGTGGAAAGGGTCACACTCACAGAGGTTCATTTAACACAGTCGAGTGTACTAAAAACCCTTCGACCTATGACCCTTCGACCCTACGACTTACTGGGTGTCAAGAATTTTTGGAACATATTTTTCTGAAAAACCCTTCGACCTCTGATTTCCCAGTCCAGTTTTCTAAATGATTATGTATAGTTCCAACTTGAGCTCCCCGTAGGATTTAATCTACCTAATCGGAAAATGTTTTGTATGTACTCTTTCAATGGAAACATAGTTGGTACCCAGTCCTCTTGTTATCAACCCCACACACATTACAAATATGATGGTTATTAGACTTAGCCGAAATCGTGAGAACTCTAGAATTTCTGGTCATAAAAGGAAATGTAACTATGACGATATGAATATTTATGAATAAGGAAGGTTTGTACATGTCAAAACATTGTCACTTCAAAGAATTCATAATCTACTGTGAGCCTATCAATCAAAGGTGTGAATAGTGCAGCTGAATTGCGTAAAGAATATAAGAATCGCGCTGAAAAACACTCTTTTCAAATTACAATATCTCTAGAAATATAAGACCAATTACTAAGTTTTATACACCATTAAAAAGCTTAAATCACCGATAATTTAAGAAATAGTTCTCATGATTAATGGATTAAATGACTTTTACTCTATATTTGACCAGAAAGAACATGAATAACTGAAAATGAATGATTATCTTCTATGCCTATCGGCCGGAAATTAACAAACACACTAATTCAGACTAGGCCATAAGAATTAGATTATTTGTTTAAGTGCATTCCTTTGCTTGCAAGATTTTAAGCAAATCAGAAAAAACAATCACTTCCAAATAGCAACCCCAAGGGTCTGAACGTACCATCACGTTTCGTTCAATCAGAATCGGAAATATCTGACAATTTGATGTGCGTCAAAATTCTAAGTTGCTGTAACTGGAAAGAGTAATGGGCTTTGGCACGATTTTTTATATTTAAAGGACAACTGAAATAGCTTTTCTCAACTTGCAGCTACAAAAATACGTTTTTTTCCATTGTAAGCCCACCGTAGAGTTCTTGCGATAGCCATTATAAAATAAATGTTAGATAACTGCTAACAGTCATAGATAACGAAACAAAACTAACTGATAAATCAAATTGGCCCCCACATGATTAGTAACGTCATATACAAAATATAGCTTTGGTTTATTGGTTCCATAGTAATCACAACGTCACGGCAACCATAGATTGTTGTGTAAACAAATAACAAAACATTTTGGCATTATGACGTCATGATCTAATGGACCAAAAGGGCCACGTGGGGACCAGTGAGAGATCATGTGGGGGCCAATAACGTCACAACCAGTTCGAATATTGCTTATTAAGCAGCTATAACGATCGTTAGAGTGAAATACTTTTCACACTACTGATGAGAAAACATGTCCAAATATCTGCTTTAATATGAGTATACTCATAAGTATGGGACACTATCTTATGACACTTTGGCAAGTAGGCAGCCATTTTGAAAAATGGCTTTTAACTTAATGTGTGTTATTTTGCATTTTTAACTCGAAAAGTAGTGGACAGATTTTTTTCTCATTTGATATGTTAATACTCATAAGCATGGCGCATTGGCTAGGTGGCCATTTTGAAAATAGGCCTCTATTTTAAAGTCTGTTATTTTACTTTTTTACTAAAACTTGAAAAGTAGTGGAATGATTTTGAGATCAAAAGTTCGATGGGATTTGCTACACCTCTGCGTTGCTGTTATCTAGTTCTGAAATGTTTCATATCTATGTTTGATAAATATTATTGTATAGATGTGTTTGTAGTAACTAAACCTTTATGCCCTTAAAATGTATTTATTTGGGGGGAGGGGGCATTCGGCTAAGTGATTCTGGGCCACTTGAAAATTGTCAAATGTTCACCCCTTGATCCTTTTGAAAAGTGAGCCCTTAATTGGCAAAAGCTGGTTATACGAACCGGCCTGATGTGACCTAGCTTGCAAGTTTGAACTTTTCTTGAGTTTATTTTCCTTGTACCCTTGCATGCTTTAGATTTTGTAGGACGCAAAACAAAGAATCTACTTCTTATGGCCCTACTTATTTAGTTGGCTTTAGATTCTATACAAATCCAAATTGAATCAAAATTGATAAAATCAAAAGACAGTTCTCTTAAAACTATATACATGTATAAAATTTAATTTGACCTCCTAAAAATATGCACGATGCGCCACTGTTACAATGTGATGGGAAAAGCACAAATATTTTTACTGAGGAGGTAAGAAACGTTCACATTCAAAATTATGTGCTTGAATACAACAAATATCTTACACTCCCCAGGGACCGATTCTGAAGTTCTATAAACATAGTAATATTTCCAGCAACTTCATATGGACTGAGAAATTGAAGGTCACAGGGTTTTTATAAAAATATATTCCAAAAATTCTTGACACCCTGTAAGTCGTAGGTCGTAGGGTCGAAGGGTTTTTAGTACATTCCGGAATCCGCACGTTCCACTGATAAATTTGTTCCACTCACAGAGGGATCTCTTACAGAGGTGTTCCACTTGGCAGTTTTTAGTGTACATTTGTACCTATATGTAATTAAGTCAAGTCAAGTAGCCTGTGATGTTCAGTGTTTAGGTCTGTAATGGATTTTACATTAGCTGATTTATTCTGAATCTGGGGAATTGGGAGATTTTATCTCAAGATACCATAAAGATCTCTAACAGATCATATATTTGGGATGTTATGACTCGGATCATGTTGAAACAGTACAGAAATTAATTGATATGTATTAAAAATGATTGACAGGTGATAATATGTGCCTGGTACCCACCTAATGCGAAGATCTGTTTCATATCTTTGAATACTTTATTGGTTAGTTTCCAATGACGATGTAGTGGGAAACACATTGCTCTACGATGACATGCTAGACACACATCAAATAAGCTGCTATAGGTCTGAAATCACATCAAGAAAAATTAAACCATGGTCATATTTATTTTCCGAATTCCTAGTGTAATGGACCATTTCATTTCAGGACACAAAAGAAAATTTCATGTCCAGCTTAGCCCCCATGAAGTAGAAATAAAAACATCAAAAAAATTCATTCCATGTTTTTGGTACAATGTTAAGCACTTTTAAAATATTCTACCTCAAAACATGATAGTGTGGCGCTCAATTTGCTTATAGTCCATCCTGACTCAACAGAGTTCTCCCCCTCTGTGATTCTATGGTTGTATGCATAGGCAAACATCAGGTCCACCAGTCCTAAATATAGATGGCGCTCTATATGTGCATCAAGAAGGTATTCTTTACGGGGAAGTTTCAACATTTTCTCCTTGTCAATTTCACTCAATTCAACTGAAAGAATATCATGGCATTACGTTAGTAAATTGTAATACATGAAACAATCCACGACCGTGTAAAATCCCCCCGCTAAATCAAACTGATCAATTGCAATATAGATGAATAAATAGGGGGCAGCATGTGTGTTGGTACGGCTGGAAAACTACTAATAATCACATTTTAACAATTCAAATACCAACATGTTCATTGAAAACAGTTTGTTTGATTTAGCAATCCTTGTTTGCAGCACTGCAGCATCTTGATTTGTCTAATTTCTCATAATTTAAAGTCAAACTCAAACACTTACCAATATTTTCACCTTTTTTCCAAGCTCTATACTCAGCCAACCATGGGGATTTGTATGCAATGATCCTCTGTACATTGTCATCATAGAACAAATCTGCTCTGAGATAAGAAACCAAATAATCAAATACTATAAAAAGGTTAACATAAAAAAAAAAACATCATCGAAAGACCATCAAAAAATAAGCGCGGAAACATAAAAAACGAATGCCAAAAAAATTGAACACAGTTCGTTCGGAATTTTCACATGAATTGCGTATATCTCACGCATTTGCTTCAAATTATTATGAGCTTACTTACAAATAATACTCCTCATCAAAATGTGAGTTTTCATTCTCTATTCGCTGTTGCCGCCTTTCATGTGGGGTCAAAGTCTCAGGATTCTTAATGTCAAGGATCTCCAAGAATTCACTCTGCAATAAATCAATATAGTTCGGTATAAAGGGGCCTATAAAGTGATCAGTTTTTAAAAGCAGTGAATATTTTATTGTTGTGTTAAGGACCATAGTGTTAAGGACAGTTTGAAGACTGTCTCAAAATAATTAATATGTTAATTTGTGTGTTTTGTGCCATAATGGACAAAATCTACACATAACACATTTTAAAACAGTTCCCATAGGAAAGTATCATACAGTCTTGCTTAGGCTTAAAGATAGTCATGTACATTGTGGATTAACACCCCATGTTTTACTTATGCCAACTTTGGACTGTCATTAAACCAGAGACAAGCCATGTTTTAATTAATTTGAACTTTATTATGGAAATGTATACAGCTACTGTATACAACCAAAACTGTAGGGAGAATTTTTGTTTTATTCACTCACATTTGGCATGGGATTTATTTGTGTCAGATATATCACAAATTGAGGTTGTGAACATATCTGGATGGGGGAGGGGTCCTTCCTGAAGGAAAGATATTTAAATCAACTACATGTACTGTACTTCTACTTCATTTGGCATGACTTATTTTTGGCAGATTCGCTGTTGTGAGCATTTGGCAGCTATTTAATTTGGCAGACTTGTAATATTACAATGTACTAATGGTACTCATTTACATGGCACTAAAATAACCGAGGAATTTGGCTGCGACTTAATTTGGTGGACTTATGAAATTTGGCGGATGTGCCAAATTAAAACGGTCACCAAATTAAGTAGAAGTACAGTAAGTGAAAAAGCATATGGACAAAGAATTAAAATGGAATGAATAATAGTGAAACTCACCTCAAGACGTTTAAAAACACCAGATTTCTGGTTTGCAAATCCATACTGAGGCCCCTCTGTTGTAAGTTTGGGTTGATATGGTGTCTGCGGCAGCTGCCAATCAATTTCTTCCTCCTCATCCTGGCATTCTGTGACATCATCAACAGAATCTGAAACAAACCAAGTAACAGTTGTGAAAGTTTTAGTTTTATTTTGCATTATTTAGTTCACATAACCAGCCTTAACATGTAGTCTGAATTGATATAAGTAATAAACTTAAAGGAACATTCCTGGCCAGACCATTTTTCTCCTAATATGGTAGCTATAACCATATATATACTTTCCATATTTAGCAAAACAGGGAAAAATGTTTTAATATAGTCAATATTGATCACTTGAAAATGTAGTGCTGAATTCCAGTAGGCTGCCATCTTTTAGTATTTCACTCAGGAAGTGATGTCATCGACTCTCAACTTTGCATATGACATTATAAGGAGCTATTAAGAATTACAAAAACCAGCTGTGCATTCTTTTTCAATTTTGTCTATGATTTAATCCTTCTATAAGTCTCTTCTATTATTCTAAGCTGACAAACTCTGAAAATATTTTTGCACATAAGGTAAGAACCACTTGTCTAGAAGTGATTTTGTGCTACTTCCCTATACTGTTATATGCAAGGTCATGGAAGTTGAGAGTCGATGACATCACTTCCTGAGTAAAATCTTAAAAGATGGCAGCTTACTCTGGAAATGAGCACTACATTTTTAAATTATCAATATTGACTATATTAAACATTTCCTGGTGTTTTGCTAAATATGGAAAGTATATATATGATTATAGCTATCACATCAGGATAGAAAAGGTTTGACCAGGAATGTTCCTTTAAAGCTGCTGTTGTCCAAATAAAAATAAAGGACATTTTAATACAATAAGTTTAAACATGTACATTTCAATTTTTGTGGTTATTGTAAGCTATTTATTAGACTGCATATACTGTTAGAAATTGATATCAGTTATAGATGCCAGTCTTATACAACAGACATTGAGACTCCCAATGTCACGAGAGATGTGGATCAGGAAAAATGATGATCTGATTTCAAGAGAGAATGGGGTAGAGCCTCTTAAAATTTTGAAAAGGCACTGATTTTGATCTATAGGAGTCCATTTAACATCTTAATATCTTCCTGGAAACTAGAACTCTTTTATGCAAGTACAGTAGATGGACTACCATTGAAAAATATATTTCCACACTTATAACTATTATCAAGTATAACTATTGTCCCCTAACAGAACAGCTGTATACTAGAAAACTACATTTTCATACTTTTAGTAATACTAAAAAATAAACAAAATATATTTTAAAATACTGTATGTTGCTTTAAGTTGGCGGATTGGGCCTAATTGGGCAAATTTTGAAATTTTGGCAGCTATTTAATTTGGATATTAGAGGGTTCATACAAAGTTGCAAATAATGCTCTCATTTTTCAAAAAACAACCAGCAGTGGATTTAGATCTTCGAAAATAGTTCAATATTGACAATTTAGTGGGGTATTTTCATATATTTTCATCCTGCAAAAGAATCCCAAGGGATTTATTCAAAAATTTGGTGGTTGTCATCAATCCCCCAAATTAAAACAGCCGTCAAATTAAAGCAACTTACAGTAGATGTCACGATCAACTTTGAAGTATTGTATTGATTGTATTCTGACACGTATCAACTTTGCCTTCACTAAAGAAGTTGATCAATACAACGCAAACAGGAAATTGTGAACAGACGATAGCAATCCAAAGAAAGGTATGATATTCCCTTTTTTTAATTTTTTAAGAGAAATATTAATTATTTTGAACACTTTGTGATAACATTTTTAAAATAATTTTAATCTTGCTCTATATAATTAACTTTAACTTTTCTTTTAGCGTCCTGTTATTGTATTTTACTTTTATCTGCTTACACATACGCTGTTTCAGCTGCCACGTGGCATGTCTTTTTTATTTTACTATCTAAAAGATCACAAACCCAAATATTGAATTCAAATAGGTCCACACATTATCAAGTACATTAGTATGTATGTTAGTAGGATTGACAAAGTGAACATTTTTTTGTGTTCAAAACATTATTAATTTGTTCAAATCAGAGCTGTCAAGTGTCCCACGAATGGCGGGATTATCCCGCGAATTCGATCAAAATAAGGCTAATTCGCGTGTCCCGCAATGTCCCGCGAAGTCCCGCAAATGTGGCTTTCGACCTCCGCGAATTTCCGAAATTGTTGCAATCCCCTATATGGTGATTATCTTATCTTATATAAGAAGCTAAGTTTTTGCACTTTTGAGGAGTAAAGTTTACCTAATTTTAAGTACCTAGCATGCTGTTGTTTGGTATCAAAATAAAGAGGAAGGGTTCAACTTTCATTTTAATTACGACAATAGGGATGTAGGTCACAAATAGTTCCAAAGTTGGCCTTTTTACTATCCGTGTGGCCTTCATCTCAGAACTGAGCAAATGTTAGCAAACGCGAGTTACAATAAATGGACGCTGATATCTAGAAAGGGTTTGTAGAAAAAACCGGGTACCGGGTAGTAAATCCTCTATGCTGGGTTCAAACTTGGTACCCGGTACCCAGTCAAAAAACGGGTACCCAAAAAATGAAAAATACGAATATACAAGTATAACATAATTAGATTATCAGAAAACGTGTAAGATTAGTTTTGAATTTACAAAAATGTATGTAACATCCTTCAAAATTGAGCTAGAAGCTTCAAATAAAAAGCATATTTTAAGGCTCTTTTCTTCCTCTATCGTCATGACCATATTTTCATTGGTTATGTTCACGTACCAATAAACGAACTCATTGAAAATAGAGTAAAATTGATTTGTCTTGTTATTCAAATCGTCTTACAATGTCATTGGCGTAGCCAGGAGAGGGTGTGATGGTGCGATCGCACCTCCTCCCCCTTCATTACCAATGAAAATATGACCATGATGATAGAGGAAGAAAAGAGGCTTAAAATGCTTTTTATTTGAAGCTTCTAGCTCAATTTTGAAGGAAGTTACATTTTTGTAAATTCAAAACAAATCTTACACGTTTTCTAATGATCTAATTATGTTGTATATTCGTATATTTCGTTTTTTGGGTACCCGGTTTTTCGACCGGGTACCAAGTTTGTCTACGTAAATTTTATTTATATTATTAATTGCATTACATTTACATGTACATATTTATATTTACATTTACATGTACATAAATAAGAATGAAGGAATAAAAAAAAAAGAAGTTTGAACCCATGGAGGATTTACTACCCGGTACCCGGTTTTTCTACAAACCCTATCTAGAAAAGTAACCTCATTCCCTATAATTTGATGTAGATTAATCGAACCCCTATATCATGGGCTTTCAATTGAAAGCCCATGCATACAGTATGGTAGTAGTTGGTCACGACGCCAGAAGCAGAGAAGTGCAAAGTATTGTTCCAAATTTTTGAATTTCGTGTTAGATTACGATACTCACACCTCAAGCATGGTTTTTGTTTTTGATAAATAACAATAGTTTAATAATATTTCTATGCGTATTTTGTGAAATTATGTTGACGTTTATTTAGTTACAATGTAATGGTGCATTATATTTGATTAATCAGTATCTGAAAGTTTGATTCAAGTACTTTTACACGCTTTTACATTAGTCCAAATCACGCAAATCCCTTGAATGTCCCGGGACATCCTGCAAATTTAGGTGGATGTCCCGCGAAATCCCGCAAATTTAGGGCACTTTTTCTAGAAAATCTGTCCCTCTATGAAGTTTTTGCTGGTAAACCTGTTAACTGTCCCGCAATTAGGGTGTTTGTCCCTCGAATGGTCCCGCGAAATCACGCGAATTTGATAAAAAAAAAATCACGCAAATCCCTTAAATGTCCCGCGAAATCCCGCGAATTTCAGGCCTGTCAACTGTCCCGCAATTTGCGTATTTGTCACGCATTTGCTGAAGAATTTGAAGTCACGCCAGTTTTTTTTGCGTGACAGAAAATGTCACGCAAATACGCATTTTACCTGGTAATTGTCACGCAAAAATATTTCTGTAGAAATTTTTTCGAAATATGTTTACGATACGGTAAAAATACGAACGTCGGAAGAAAACCGAACGCAATTTGTTCGGATTTGTCACGCGAATCCCGTATATGTCACGCATGTTCATTGGAAATTTTCGTACCTACCCTCCCCCCCCCCCCCCCCCCCCCCCCCGTTGACGATACCGCGAGCGTAGCGAGCGCGAAAAATTTGAGGTGTTCAAAGTTTGGCAAAGGTGCTCAAACTTTGGCCAAAGGTGTTTAAAAGTTGGCCAAAGGTGTTCAAAATTTGGACAAAAGTGTTCAGATTTGGACTTAGGTGTCCAACATTTTGAAGTCACTCATATTAGGTGGTCCCAAGTTGACAGCCCTGGAATTTAGTAGATGTCCCGCAAAATCCCGCGAATTTTGGGCACTGGGTCTAAAAAATCTGTCCCGCGAGAAAATCTTTGGAGGTTGACAGTACTGTCAAATTCAAACATGTTCCATGTTCTTCACACTTTTTACATAATTTTCCATAACCTTTTGTTGGTACCACCCTCTCGGGAAATTGGATCCCAAGAACCTCTTGATCAGCAATGAAACTTCTACTTGGTGATATGCAGGTTTGAAGTTGATTGTATCCCCATGTAAAGTCAACAACCCTTGCTGAAATCCTAATTTTCTCAGAAGAACTCAAGTTCAAGCTAAACCCGAGAGGATGTATCTATCATTTATTCTACCAAACTTAAAGTATAGAAGTATATTATTTGAAAAATCTACTAAGTATAATATTATGAAACTTGGCCAAGTCCATTATAGACCAGCATTATTAGTAAGTACATGTATTAGTAAGATTTACTGGAAAGATCTATTCACTGGAATACATATACTTGGCCTTGCATGTTGTTTTTTCATTCATGTTGTCATTCATGTAGATGATTTTGAAAAAAATTTAATCAATTTGAAGCAAGTTGCAAAAAGAACTTTTTGACCTTTTCACCTTGAGAATGTCATTGAAGGTCAAATCTAAAGTCAGATTTGAATTTCTGAGAACTCCTAGATGATTTTGAAGGAAAAATTTAATCAATTTGAAGCAAGTAAAAAAAAACTTTTTGACCTTTTTTTAACCTAAAGACCTTATTGTGACCTTTTTGACATTGAGAAAGTCAAAAACGGAGATCATAACAATATGTCACCATGTGGTGGTGACATAAAAACTACAATATGCTATGTATATACATTAATCTAAAAATATATTGTGTTGTGATATTGCAAGGTTAGGAATCTTTTTTCTAAAAGTACATTTGTATATGTGTTAATTTAGTGTCATCTTTACTTTCTGAGGTAATATTTGATTGTTTCACAATGTCACATACGAGATATAGATTTAATGGTTTGGTTGAATTTCAGGGTGGATTTCCACCCATCCCTGCATTTACAAAGTATAGGAGTCTTTCATCATCGATGCATCAAATGCTTTCCAGAAATCATAGAATCAATATAAAGAGGCTCCTTTTCTTTCTTTACATAGTCTATTATTCTTGAGAGAACAAATATATTATCAGATGTGATTTTGTTTTAAGACTGCCATCTTTTAAACAACATAAAAGTTGATTTTGTAGTAAAGTTTTTCATTTTTAACCTTAGATAAAAAAAATAATAAAAATTTTCTCATTTTCTGTTATTTCATAATCAAGCATTTTCTTTTTTGATTGGACCTTTTCAAGCTTTTGGATACACTGACTTAATTTTGTATCACCAGTGTCATTATTTTTTAATTTATTTTTAAAAATCTAGTTATATAGATATGTTCATGTTCCAGTAATTGCAGGCTGTCTTGTGTGCCCGATGTTTATGGCCGATTTTATTTATGGATCCTGTCCAATTATGAACAGTCATGGAACCCTTGTCTAACAAAATTTTTAAATGTTGATTAGTATTTCACTTGAATATCTAAAAAATCAATACTATTCGCAAATTAAACCATCATTTATCCTCTCCCCTTAGAGAAGGGGTTCATTTGGCCCCCTGACCAAGAATTCTTTCAAAATCATGCAGTTTTTCACCATTCTGAGCACTTTTCTAGTGATTTTGGCCATTTTTGGGCCAAAGTATTACGTACTCTTTCTGTTGTATTATGGCATTTTACCACTGAGGGAGCCATCAGCTTGGAGTTTAGGGATGCATGGCTTCATTTAAGCATTAGTTTAAGTCATGAAACTTCATCTATCTAGTAAGGGTCTAACGGTGCACCGAAACTGCGTTGCGCCGCGGTTCTTAGGCCTTGGTCGGTACATTCGGTTCGAAAATGTTACGGTTTGGTTTTTTAACGGTTTGTTAATTCAGAAAAAGATCGCCGTTCACAAAAATATTGACGTTCGCTAAAGTGATAAATCCCATTCACAAAGCTTTTTATTCTACTCAAAACATGATCAGAATAGAAGAATATAATGCCACCTACCTTAGAGAAGAACAATTTGAAGTGAAATAGCCAGATAATCATCAGTATTTGGAAAAAAAAACACTGAAAGATCATTTAATAGTTTAAAGTTTAAAATATTTTATTTCTGTGTCACAAGTTTAAAAACTACATTCAATATCATATAATAAATACTTTTTTTAAAAAACCCACCAGCCGGCATCGGCTTAGGAGACACCATTAAATGTATATCTAATTGTAATTGAATATTGACTAGAGTAAGGGGAGGCATCAAAAGTTCAATGTCTGATAGGAAACTAAATAAATCTAGTTTTGAGTTGGACCCCCCCCCCCTCCCCCTCAAAACTAAATACAATGAAAGTTGATCGCGGACTTTCACATGTTTTTGCGACTCAATTTGGACTTTTATGGGAGTAGAACTATAACTTGTTCATGATTCTTAAAACACGTGCCAACAACAATAGGCATAATATTCCATGTTGCATGCATATTTGTGAAGAAGGCATCTGGTAAAGTCTTTATTTTTAAACCATTCTAAGGCATTTCGAGTCGAAATTCCCAAAAATTCAAATGTTGAAATTTGTCGGATAGCAAACTGAAATAGCTTTGACCCCCTCCCCCCGAAACTAGATTTATTTAGTTTTCTATCCGACATTGATCTTTTGATGCCTCCCCTAAGTTGACTTAATAGAGCACTTTTAGATAGAGTAGTATTCAATGCTGCCATCTTTAAATGCTTTGACAAATATTTTCTATTAATGGCCATTATCACAATAATTAAAGTTATTGAATGATTTGAAGTGCAATACAGGATATATTCTGCTCGAGAAATTCCGTATTGGAACGAGACGAAGTCGAGTGCCAATACAGAATATCGAGACAGAATATATCCTGTATTGCACTTCAAATCATTCAATAACGTTTTTATCGTGTGATCCTCTGTATTGCTACTGAGATTGTCCCTTCCGTACCAATATTTTCTGTATTACGACGGAGATGATCAACGGGGACAATCTCAGTAGCAATACAGATTGGTACAGCACAAGAACTGACCAATCAGAAGGCTTCATTTTACAGATCATACGATAAATGAATATGCATGCATAAATAAACTGTATTGATACAATAAATTTTGTAGTCAAGTGCTGGAAAATGACTATAACAGATTGGGGACACACACCTGCTGCCCAGTTATATCTTTAATTCTAAAAAGTATCAGTTTTAACCAAGTCTGGACTTCACAAATGTAACTCCTATAATCTGCCATAGTCAAATTGCCTTTTTGAATACATATTATGAATAAGAGCTGCTAGAGGTTTTTGAATCTTCTTGGCAAGCATTAGGCTAATAAATGTCAAAAGTGAATTTGCATTATTCAAGTCTACAGGGTGTCCCGAAAGTATGCCCCCCCCCTACGCAGACATATACCAGTGTCACCATAGTATGTGTCATATACCATTTTAAAGCTTATCCAAAGTTACATTGATTTGCCAAGTATCATGGTTTAACTCCCAAATGGGAAAAAGTTACAGGCATTTCAAAATTTAGTGTTTGGTCAAAATTAAGTTCAATTTTACACCAAATCACAAGTCAATGTGTCCTCCCGGGCCATCTTAACAGCAATAATTCTTTTCGGGTCGGAGGGATATTGAGTTGGAAAACGAGAACGGTGAGGGTAGAAACTCTAAGGAAACTCTTCTAAAGTCCCTTAACAGGTTTTAAAAGGGTTATAAAATTCCACACCCCTATTTGAAGGGCTTTTAAGGTCATATCTGAAAATAATTGCTGCTGTTAACATGGCCAAGGGGGACACATTGACTAGTAATGTGGTGTAAAATTGAACTTTATTTTGACAAAACACTATATGGCAATTGCTCTTGCACAATCTCTCTATAGAAGGTATCCCTTAGGAGCTTATAGTGTGGACATTTTATCAGAAAATGAATTTCATTTTCAACTTCATCCAAATCACAGAGTTTGCAAGTTCTCTGGTCCAGAGGAGTACCATCATATCTACCAGTTTCTATACGGAGTTGTAGCGTCCCAGTTCTCAGTTTAGCCAATGCACTTCGATGGTGTCTTGGGATGAAACAAGTTACATAACTTTCTGCTACTACTCCATACTTAAATTGCCTGAAAGTTCTTAATTTATTACCGTTCACTTCATTGTTTTTGTCATTCCAAATGTTTTTTAGAAAGGGATCTTGAGATTGTTGATAAAGCTTGACCTCTTCTAAAATAGCTTTAGCATTTAAGTTTTCCATTTGAGTTATATTCCCTTGGCCTGATGCCTCTAAGAACTTGTAAGCTCTGTAGTCCCAACTATTTTTACGTCTTAAGGACCAATGATGTATTTTTGAGTTTAACCTATCTTTGTCCAAATTTTGCAGGCGTATAAAAAGACGTGCACTCTCTATCTGTTGTTTGTGAAGTGGTAAGTCCCATCCAAGGTCAGCTCGAGCTGCTTCGTTGTTTGTTTTGACACCGACACCAAGAAAGAATTTTGATGCCTTATTCTGGACTGCATTTATACACTTGTGCTCATTATTACCTATCAATGAACAGCCATAGTTGATCACAGGTTGCACTAAAGTGTCATATAATTTGCTGTAAACAGTTATATCCATGCCTCCAGTTTGTTGGAATTTTGACATTATTACACATAAAGCACGACTTGCAGACTTAGCAATTTCCTTTGCTGTTATTTGAGGGTTAACATGCTCTTCAAGCCATACTCCCAAGTATTTATATTTTTCAGTATATTCTATTGATTTTATTCCACACTTAAATTGATATGTAGATCTTGGTTTAGAGGTTGGCCTGTAGTGAACGATTTTAGTTTTTTTCTGACCTATGCTGAGTCTCCATTTCCTACACCACTGGTTTACAACATTAAGCATGCGCTGAAGATCTTGAGGGGTATCAGCTATCAAAGCAATGTCGTCGGCATACATGAGTATACACACTTTTTCGTCGTTAATTGTGACCCCACAATTTAAACTTTTTATTTCTTCAGCTATGGAGTCTACATAGATCGAAAAAATCGTGGGCGATAATAGACATCCTTCCTTCGTACCAGACTTAGCACTGAACCAAGGGGTTAAAATTCCATTTATCCTCACACTACATGTAACATCCTGATATAGCGACTTTACAGCCTTAAACATTTTACCTTTAATGCCAATTTTGTTCATTTTAAACCATAGGCAGTCCCTGTTAAGACTTCCGAAGGCTTTAATATAATCAATATAGCACACAAATGTGTCTAGTTTAGACAGTTTTCTATTGTTTATAATGGAATACAAACTATGCACCTGATCCAAACAACTACGTTTTTTCCTGAAACCATTTTAATCACCGTGTGCAGAAACTTACGGAGCTAGCAATTCTGAGTATAGTAATTAGTACTTTTTGAATATATATATTTGAATAATATATATTGATTTATTTTAATCTACAGTGTACATTAATAATTAATATTGTATTATTTGTTCATCCTCATTGTCAATAGACTTAAGAAGTTCATTATGTTCCTTTTGAAGAGGTTCAGTTCAAAAGATGCACAAAGTTCCCTGTTTAAAATACTGATCTCTACAAACACTGAAATAAAAGCTTGTAGGGTGATACATAGTCTAGCAGTAATAACAGTATGTTTTTATTCCAACTTTATGTTTATTGTACATACAATTCTAATATAGACAGTTAATCAGTTTCAAGAGTTATCTGAACTTTTTAAATTAAATGCCATAAGAACCGAAAAAAAACTGAACCGTAAAGATAAAAACAGTGAACCGACCGAACCGAGGAAATTATGAAACCATTAGAGCCCTACTATCTAGTACATACTACATGTATTTCAATTTTTATTTCAATTTTCTATTTCAAGGTTGAATATCTGTGCAACCACTTGTCATCTGTAATCCATCTGTACTCCGCAATGGCCACTGCACAATCGTTTGTTGAAGAATCTGCCAAATTGTTGATGTGCCCGATATGTCTACAGACAGTGTCACATCCAGTCGTTAAAATGTTTGCACACTTTCTGCGAACATTGCTTAGAGGATTGGATTCAGAAAAAGAAAAACGATGTCACCAAAACATTCACATGCCCTGTCTGTACATGTGATTTGGACATACCGACTGAAGGGGCTACTTCATACAGAACCAATTTCCTTATGAAGTCAATGGCCGAAGCATTAGACAGAACTAAAACTGCACTGGGGAAGGTTGACTTCGATTGCGCGGTTTGCATGCTTGATGAAAATCACGTTGTTGCTGTAACAAGGTGTAAAGAATGTGCTGAATATCTGTGCAGCTCATGTACTAAAGTTCATAAAAGATTAAAGGCAACAAGGTTACACACAATTGTTGAAATGGCAGGGAATCAAGATGAAGATGTCATCCAATGCTTTAAACATCCAGAGCAACCACTTCAACTTTATTGTGAAACAGATAAGACATTGATCTGCATTGATTGTTGTACAGAAGACCATTCAGCCCATCCCTGTTTGAAAGTACAAGAGGTCGCAAAAGCTGAGTGGAAACGTCTATCTGAACTTCTGGATCAAGTAAATACCAAAACAAACATGCTTGATCAACAAATACAAAAAGCACCAGGTCTAAGGAACTCTCAAATAGAAAACCTCACCACTGTTCTTGATGCTATAAACGATCACCGACATAGTGTGACAGATAAAGTCAATGCACATTTTGACAAGCTTGAAGCTGATGCAAAATCCAAACATGATAAAACTCTGAAACAAATCATGAAGCAACAGGGTGTTCTAGAACTAGAGAGGGATAAAACTCAAAACACGGCACTGATGATGTCATCGATCAAGGAAACAAGCCATCCTGTTGTCATCATTAACTCCCTTCCTGATATTCAAAAAAGGGCAGATGATTTGGAAACAACAAAGCTTTGTTTTGATGGCAACAAAATCAAAACTTTAAAATTCCAGCTTGGTAATATTGATACTGCCGCATTAGGTCATATTTCAAGTGTCAATAATCCATTGTTAAAGTCAAGTCCAACAAATTGTGAAGCCTCCAAAGATAAATCTTCCCCAGTTTCCTCGATTGGCTCCACGACTCACAAGACCCAACAGTATGCCCAGTAACTTACAATCTGGTTATGGCAAAATGTAGACAATGGCTTGCTCGGAATCATAAATTATTGTTCAATAGTCTTGGAAAGAGACATTGCAACACTAAGATAGTAAAGCATGTGCTTTGTGTACATATGTTAACAAACCTTGTACAAAGAACTGTGAAATTTGTGATGCAAATTTAAATGAATCTTGTTCAGCTTTTCAACTGCGGTTTGAAAACAACTATGAGCAGAATGAAACCTTCAATTAATGTCCATTTGTGAACTCTGTAAATATGAGTAGAACTATCGATGCATCTATCTGTAACGCATCTACAAACTGGGAAGATGAGAAGGGACAAGTCTCGGTTTGAAGATCAGTCTTATTGGCGAATAATTTTTTAATGAAAAATATAGAAATAACACCCAAATTATGAATATTCAAAAGAGGACATTAAATCTACAAGATGTAAAAATATCAATATTGTCCAAAGCAGGCGTATTACGTGCACGATTCAATAAAAGACGAGTCTCGATTTATATTGCAATGGACCTTCTGCCGTGCATCAGTGACAAGGCAACACGAGTGTGGTTGACAAGATTGTCACAGCGGAAATAAGCTGTGTTAGTGCACTTGGATGAGCTGTTTTTGTTGATAATATGTGACCCCGGGGTATATGTGTGCTTGTTATTTGCTTCCCAGGGCCTATTGATCTTTTTGTGTTACCTTGGGAGATAAATATTACGCAATTGACTTGCGCCGAAGACATTCAAAAACGCAGCCTTGATCAATGTTGTACTTACCTGATGCTAGAACTTCTATCATTGGCTGAGTGGAAGCAGTAGGTTGGCTGCTAGATGGCGCTAGTAGTTTTGTGAGCATATCAAGATCAGGGAAATATTCCCCTGGTGTTTCCTTAGGTACAGTGACAGTGTATGACCCTAGAAAATATAAATACTGAGAATCGTACACAGCTTAACCTAAAAAATGGAAAGTCGCTTCAAGTTGAATACTTTCAAAAGTTTTATGTTAGTCTCAGGTGGAACATAAATTTGAGATAACAAAGGCTTTTAACTTTTCAGGTTTACTGTAAAAATTGTACATATGTTTACTGAGGGACAGTATATACAAGCAATATAAATGCACATATTGTAAAACATACAAAAAAACAAAACAAAAAAATACAAAAAATACAAAAAAATTAAATTATCCAATTATTGGTAGAGACAGGATTCTTATATCACAGTAACATTTTATATGTCATGTAAAGAATGTAATCCTATTTTCTTTGCTTTATTGCTGTTATTACTGTTGTTAAAATTGTATGTTGGGTGTGCGTTTGGCCCTAAAGGGCATCAGTACTAATAAAATCTTATTATATTTAATAGTTAATTTTTGTACCAACACATGCTTAAAGTATGTAATAATGTTCATAATTAGGGCACAACGATTTTTACTTGGGGTTCATCGCTTTGCCCCTTTAGTAGGTGTTCAGGGAGAGACGGGGTATCTCCCATTAGAGATTGTACATAAGATAGAAACTATAAGATTGTGGAACAGGTTTGTAAATCTTGAAAGTGGTCGCCTTACTAAAATAATTTTCAAATGGAGTAAAGACCGCAATAATAACTGGATGAAGGCAGTTAGAAGTATATTACAATCTGTTGAAATGGAAGCAAAATATGTAAATACTGATTTTGTTGATTTAACCCTTTTAAAAAGAGGGCTCTTAAATAATTATACTCTAGAATGGTTAAATAATGTAAAGGCAAAACCTAAATTAAGAACATATGCAACATTCAAGACAGATTTTAAAGCAGAAAAATACCTTTCACTTAATTTTACAAAATTTGAGCGGAGCCTCTCAGCTCAGTTAAGATTAGGAATTTTACCACTGCACATAGAAACGGGGCGATTAAGAGGAGAAAAAGTTGAAAATAGAATTTGTACTCTATGTAACAATAATGAGGTTGAATCAGAGGCCCATTTCCTAGTTTATTGTGAGGTATATAAGGACCTTCGGGAGAAATATTTTGGTAATTTGAATCATCATGTACAGCCTGATGGCTTAAGAATTAAATATCTTTTTGAAAATAAGACTTGTAACATTGTTAAATACATTAGAGAGGCATATGTAAGAAGACAGCAGCTGATTTATAATGATCTATGAACCTGTTACTTACATTTATATTTTGAATTTGTTATTAAATGTTATTAGAAGTGGTTAATAAGCCCAAAGTGGGCTGGGTTGTTTTACATAAACTTATTTTGTTTTACTTTATTTTGTTTAGACTTACCACTATAAATAAAAACTAATATATTTGAATACATGTAATTCACATGAAATTATTTAAATTAGTTAAATACATGAATTGTGTTCAATGAAAATCCAAAAGGCTCACTAAAATCAAACAAACATTCTAGAAATGGTATCTTAGTGTCAATAGATGTGAAATAATGAATTTTACTTTGTTAATAAATATTAATAAATTGTTTACTTAATAAATGCTGATTTTATGATTGAAGAATGTTTCTTTTTAAATTTAAGTACGAGTGAGCCAAAAAAGGTAACAAAAACAAATGTAAGTAACTCAGTCATCCAGCATAGTTATAAATTCATATTTGGCAGGATAGAACCCTGTTTAATGTTCTTTCACTCTACCAAGTTTCATCGGTTCGTTTCAAATGACCACGATTTTATGGCTATTTTACAAAACATCCTCAAAATGATGGTCTCATCTCTGGAGACCAATTTGAATGTACTTCTAATGGGGCATAACCAGAATTTTTGAAAGCAGGGGCGTAGCCAGCTTTCAGTCAGGGGGGTGTGATCGCCAAAAAAATTTCGGGTTTCAGTTAGGGGGGTGCGATTTCGGCATAAAAAAGCCAAAAAATGAAGATTTATCAAATTGATGTAACTAACTTCAAAATTGAGCTAGAAGCTTCAAATAAAAAGCATTTTAAAGCTCTTTTCTTAATCTCCTATCTTGTGGCTATATTTTTATTGGTTATGGGGGGGTGCGATTGCATCCATCGCACCCCCATGGTTACGCCTATGGAATTGTTCGCGTAAAAAAGTCACCATTCTGAGAGTGGGGTTTGTTTCTGGCCTGTGGTTTATTGATCTTTCAAGAAAGTGAGTTGTTCCGAGTCGGGGTTCATTTTATAACGAAAGGGGGTTCGAGGCTCCAAAGGAAAAAGTTTCGTGATTCATATCACCGTATCAAGTGATTTATTGCATTAGGAGCATGATTTGTAAAATGATCATAATAATGTAGTTTGGGTTACCTTTTTTGGCTCATCCTGTAAAAGACAAACTGGCATTTTCAAATTTTGATATATGGGGGGTTGGTTGCACATACTGAAATTAACTTCATTTTTCCAAAACTTTTGGACACCATTCCTTCCAATTTACCTTTATCAACATCATATTTAGCCTCTTCTCTGCCATCTTCTACAAGTCTTCCTGGTAACGTTAATCTGAAAATTAAAACACACATCAGGACTCTCAGCATTGTTATCAATAAATGGATGGTAGAAAAAGAATACCATAAGTTGGAAATTCTGCTGTTCAAACAGAGGAGTAAAACTCTTGCTGAATATTGCCCCATGGAGAAGATGGCACACCAAAACTTGCAAAAACTGATGGAATCTTGAATAAAAGTAACGTTGAAGAAATATTTATGAACTTTAGTACATGTAGTTTATATATTAATTACTTGAGATCTTAGGAAATATGGCATTATATGAAGGAATATGGCTGTAACTGAGGGCTTTACCTAAATCATAGCTTTACCTGATGATATTTAGCTTTAACTGAGAGCAAGGCTTTATCAGATAAATGAATATGGTTTAACCCAATGAATTACCTGAGAAAATAAGGCTTGGAGTAAAACTTGAAATCAGTGCCATCTATGAAAACTTCTGTGTCGGACACCTATAAAATATAATAACAATTCATACAAAAAAGAATACAGTCAATAAAAGATATATATAGTGAAAACCTCTTTCTAATGAACACCTGTGTCTAGAGAACATCCTTTCTTAGCACATACTCCACTCTCTTTGTAGTGAACACATTTTGTGGCCTATTCATGTTCACTGTACACAGGTTTTGTTTTATATAAATCAAATTTAGGACCCAAATTTTTACCCAATCACTCTGGTCCCTTTGACTGCCTGAATAAAGTCATTTATACATGTAAAAAATGCAGTTTTCATCATAATGACTTATTCTATATAATGTAATTATATGTATATTCATGTACATATTTGAATGGAAATATTTACATTTTGAATGTTATTTATAAGAGGAATAAATGTACCTTTGTATATGGAGCCTGGATTACTACAATGATAGTGTTGGCATCTTGTGCAATTTCAAACGCTGGTGTTAGCATTTTAGAGATAAGGTCTACCTGAAATGAGTCAATGGCTTTTAGATTTGACATTTGAGAACATATATATCAAACCTGAGTATTCAAACACATACTAGTCTGATGGAATCCTCAATCCCTCTGAAAATAAGATACATGTCTCAATAACCATTATGTTGTGTGCCAAGGTCATAACACACACATATGTATATCTAATCTCAATATTGTTGTACTGTAAGACAGTATGCAGGCCATACTTCAAGATTTACAAAACAAAAGCATAACAAATTGTGATCAACATAGATTTTCTGACATTGGATAAAATAAGCATTATTTCTTGAATAACTTTGTTGATAGCATTTTTTTATTGGGCTGTCTTTTTGATTTGAGTCATCAGAAATTGGCTTAGTATAAAAAACCTCATACCCACCTACCCACATACATGGGACATGATACAGTCTTTGACGGGTTCAATTTTAAGATTATTAAATCTTAGTTTATGATGAATTAATGCACCCATTCAAGGAAACAGTGAAAATGATATTTTTATGAAGCGGGGAAGTCAAAACATTACTAATAGAAATCATAGTAAGCATTACAAGATCATTTAGAGGCATTTAAAATCGAATCCATGTCAAAATCTGGATAATTGAAATATTCACACACAGACGTCAAAGAACACACTTCCGATTTTTTAATCGACGATTTTATCAATCAAAAAATATTCTCATGAATTTGTCTGATATATGCTTAAATATGGTATGTATACTTGTGATGATTGTTAAATTGCAAAATAGGTAGGGTAAAGAATATGTCAAAGTTGTTTGATCTCGTCCCAGAAGCAATATTTTGTCACTCGTATCCTTAATTCCAGCTTTATTTTATGACTAGACAGTTGACAGATTCATAGATAAAGGCATATGGGATTAATTCATCTATAATTAGCATAAACTAAGATATGATAATCTTTAAAATTGAACTGTTCATGTCCCACATACGTGGGTTGATGGGTGCGAGGTAGGAGGTTTTTTATACAAAGCCTCGGAAATTACTGACAATGAAATGTGCACTGAGGATAGCGAGATGACAAGCCAGGGAAAAACATTCTTTATTTTCAAAAGCAGTTTTGAATGACAGCTTTTGCAATTCCTAGTGTGATGCTACTGGACTACTGCTACTGGGTTAGGTGTAAATATTTTCAAAACACACGCATGATATATACATGTATTTCGGACCAAATGCGTGACATTAACGGCAATCACGTGCAAAGAACGAACGGAATGTGTTCGCTTTTTTTCGGCGTTTGGATTTTTACAGTAGTAGCATTTCATACAAAACTATTTTTGAAAATATCAACATAATGCGTGATTTGCGTATACACAGTAAATTGATGTGTGATTTCTATTTTCCTAGCAAATGCGTGACAATCACGCCTACATGTAATGCGTGAGGATTGACAGGGCTGGGAATCTGACTAAAAAGTTGAGAAGATGGCTACAATGAAATGAGACAAAACACTCAGTGCTTAATGCTGAACCGATGAGTACAAAACTACTATTAGATTAGACATTACATTAGTGAAACGATGATCGAGTGCCTGGGGAGATCGAGTCTCGCCATACATTGTACAACTAGTACAATGGTAATTTGAATTTGAGAAGACAGGTGATGAATAAGTTATTGAGATAACAAGAATTACAAATACACGTTTGGAATTTTCAACAGGATTTTTAGATCATGTCACTGTATATCTAATTGTAAATTCTAAAACAAGGGTCCATTATCACCCACCAAAATGTGATTTTCATTTCATTTCTTTTCAACTGCAAAACTTTCTACAATACTCTAGTCACTGCACATTATATTTTCATACCTATGTAAATTGTGCTCTAAATCACCTCTCTGACTCGTCTGGTGTCCTGATATTGTTAGATGGTGCCAGTAAAACAGAGAAAATATCTCAGATTATTTTTTTCGAAATCTCAGACGAGTCTCCCGAAACAATTTAAAAGGTCGATTCGGATTGGTTCAAAGTATGGGTGTGTCAATTTGGAATTTACACAGTCTTCTATCACAGGAACTGTTTTAACGACCAGTTTATCAATATATGAGTTGGGTAGTAAAATTGTATATTTTTGCACACTACAATCAGTTTATGGCAATATTGGACGCTGTGTTTCATTTAAAAGGTAGTGAATGATATGGGTCAATTTATTTAAACCAATCAAAACGATCCTCACATCTGATGTAAATATCACGCCATGTCAAAATCATAATATTTTGGTCGGACGAGTGTTGTGTCGGTTACTCATTTATCTCCACGTATACCTCTGCATTTATCATTTATTCTAGTCCCAACAGAAAAACTGACGTTGAAGAAACTCATGTGCTAGTAAAGAAGACCAGATTCATCAAGATTTGGTAAGATACACTCATTTGTTAATTCATTTGAAAAAGTCAATGTTTGCTGATTTCAACAGTCTCTCAGACAGACACCATTTGTTTAGACTTTCTCCTACATATATGTTGTTTCAGTGCGCAACATCTCGGGCGTCTTTTCGCCTTTAGTTCTATACTTTTGTCAGGATCTTCAATTGAAGCATTATTCCATCGGTAAAATTGAGTTTCTAAGACCCGGTGAGGACACTAAGGACATAGGTATTCAAGGCCATATCTCATGATCTGTTTACAAGTACATATGTACTCTGATGATTCATTGTTGTTGATATCTCTTGGAGATTTGAAGTAGACTATCTGGTTTGTGCTCATATATGCGCAATGTAATATTTAGATTGATTTGATTGATATCTTGTAGCAGCAAAATGTAAGACAATGTCACACAGATGTACTTTGTAAAGTACATGTGCACCTGCATGTACTTATCAAATTCCTTGACCGCTTTTATATATGTGCTCTTCAGGTTGGGCATTGATAAACATACACCTACACTTCAAGTATATTATGGACATGAAATGTATATCACTAACTTAAAGCAAACTATGTATATCACAAGTGTAACATACATGTACATGTACACTACCATACATCTACACAGAAGTGTAAGGCATGTAACCTGTACCTTGCATGTCATCCTGCATGCATCATGCCTGTTGCAATCCTGGGGTGTCAACTTTAACTGCAACATGACATGTAAGTTGTACACTGAGGTTTTGCAACCAGAATCATGTATCACTTACCATTTGTGAAGTTTTTTTAACTTGAAGCATTCTCTATAGTAGAGCTTAGAATTATTTCACTGCAAACCTTTAACACTATAATTTAAAAGTCTTCAAAATACTTCAGATCATTACACCAATATCCCACTTTTATGAAGTTGAAATCGAAAATAATCTATAGTCAAAATTTTAATTTATTTTTGCAGAATATGACGTCAAGATCAAGGACTTGTTTCCGCTACTTAAGTCCTGGGAACAGTGCTCTTCAAAGTTTGACACGACCCCCAGCCAGATTCATCAGTGGAGATCGTGAGCTCAATACCACCCATAAAGATCATAACTCTAACGAAGAAAATATTGCAATCTCAAGCAAAAATACACTGAGAAATTTCCGAGCTGCAAATATATACGATATTGTTAAAGGCCAGTTCAAGGATGTTGCGCAGCTTAAGGAAACTGTGGGATTGGGGGCAGCTTTGAGACGCTTAGCTGCACTAAACATTGACATTCCCCAAAAATATCTTCCCAATTATAAAAAATTGAAGGTTGGATCCGTAAAGATAAAACTACCTGATATGAAAATACTTGACAGTGATGCGGATCGTCAAAGAGATGAAGAAAAGCAAATCATTGAATGGAAAAGGAAAAAGAAAAATCAACTGGAAATGAAAGTTAAGGAAATAGAATCCAAAACACATCGTTATATGGAGATAAAACGTGAAACACATGACATTGAAACTGCAATGAAAGAAACTCAGGAATCGGTGAAAGTCTTTTACGACTCTGTCCAAGAAGTTAATAATAAAAATAAAAACAATAATGTATTCAATATGAACAACAGTCCACCTAAAAAAGCGAAAATGGAAACCCAGAAGCTGAGTTCCTCTGAAAGAATGATACAAAATTTTCGAGAACTTATAAGCAGTGATAAAAAACCTCAAGAAAATGTTGAAGGGAAAAATATTGAAAAAAGAGAATGTGCGTCAAAATCAGCTCTGGCTAAACAGTATCGGGAGTTGGTGGTAGGTGTCGCCAGAGCGCAATCTAATATGTCACGGTTGCAACGATTAGAGAAACTCAACGAACATTTAGTGCAATATCCTGATGTTAGGCATGTCACAATGAAGGTATGATTAAAAAATTTGCAATCTACCTGGTTGACCTTTCTTTGGATTGGAGAAATCATTGTTGATTGATTGTTTGTTTGATAATAATGTATCTAATTGGTCACATGATGTATGGTGTACACTGTACACATAGGTACAAAATCTCACTTTCACGACATTGACCAAAATTCATTAATATGCATATTATCTTGATTTTTCTCATTTTAAATGGGTGCAAATTGATTGTAAGGTGGGTGCATGCCTGTTTCAAAACCTCAAGGGGTGCAGTGCCTAGTTACTTTAATTAAGCCTGGAGTGATCAGCGATTGCTGATGTCCTGTATTAATGTACTTAATGGGAAACAAAGCAATATGTATGATTTATATGATTGAAACCTATCTCTATTTTCATTTATAGGAGGATATTCTAAACATACTTTTGCCTTACAAACACAGTCCAGACAAAGCCTTACGGGAGGAGATTCGACAAACTCTTGCTCTTGTGGGTTACACTGACCCTGTGAAAGGGCGGGGCATCAGAGTGCTGACTATTGATGGAGGGGGTACCAGGTTAGCTATTTTTCTTCATGTGTTTCGCATTTCACATTTTGATATCTTTGGATTAGGCATAATATAAGCCAGTGATTTAAACTTTGTATGGGGCCTTTAAGGTTGTACCATTTAGTGCCTTGCCAATGTTTTTCATAATTGAATTGAATGAAATTGAGTTTCCATAAAATCTCATTTTGAACATTTTCGAGAAACTAAAGTTAAAACTTCATGAGTTTCATAATGCTTTTTAAATATTGTTTAATTGTACATTGAGGTATGATATTATTTTAATATACATGTACAGCTGTTCACTCATATTCAAGCCAAATTATGTTACAATTAACTTTTGATGTTTCAGGGGACTAATCGCAATTGAGGTGATGAAGCGTATACAAAAAATGTGCAATCGTGAGATGCATGAACTTTTCGATTATATCTGTGGAGTTAGCACTGGGTCGCTAATCGCTATGATGGTAGGGGTGTACCGCATTCCCCTCGAGGAGTGTGATAGGGTGTACAAAATGTACGCGTACGAGATGTTCAAACGTAGCAAACATCAAGGCATTAGTAGTCTTGTACAGAAACAGGCGTACTATGATACTGACCAATGGGTCAACATTTTGAAGTAAGTGCAGTTTTGTTATTAACATAGCTTGTATTCGCGAATGTAACTTTCTGCTGGCGGCTACCGGATTAACCTTCTATTTCATGGGAAATTCATTTAACAATCAATAGAACCTGCCACTGTTCTATTCTTATTTAAATGAGTTTGTTATGAATTAGTAGGTTAATCCGATAGCAAACAGCCGAAAGTTGTATTCACGAATACAAGCTAAGTAAGTCTTATAGATATTAGGGAGTTTAAGATTAGCGTAAATAACCCATCTACCTATACCTATACGTAGTTTGTTATTACACTAAGCGGTATTTTACCTAAGTTACAGGGTTTACGATACGTAATTACCTATAAATGGCCGAAGATAGGTAATTCGAAAACGTATGTTTTTATCCAACAAATTATGTCATTTCTAGATCAAATATTATCCATTAAACTTTAAAATAGTAACAACAAACATTTCTCATTCGATCTACATAGAAATTAAGTGGTCGAACACATTCATTGATGCGATAAACGATGCCATGTGATGATGCATGAAATTGTTGAATTTACACATTCTTCATTAGTTTTGTTTATTGTAAATGTATGAAATCAGCCATTTTCTCGTGGTTTTAATTGTTTAACTTTACTATTTGGTCACTCTCATTGCTGGATCACGCTAGAAATTTAACATTTCGCCCTAAGTCACTGCCCCATTGGCGGACCCGCAAGCAACAACCTCTCCCAACTACAGTAGCTACACCAAGGTCTCTCCGAAGTATATAACAGTTCTTGGAGGTGACATGTACTGGTATATGCCATATAAGCCATCGCATGGTTTTCATTCTATAATTAGGATGTCTATTTTATCATAAATTGTAGCATACGGTTTCGTAGCCTTTTACGTTAATCTTAAACTCATTTTGCAATACGCATTACCTATACGTATCCGTAACAAACATACGGATAGGGATAGGTACACATATGTTTTTACGCTAATCTTAACCTCCCTAATATGCCCTGTTAAGCTTGCGATTGTATGATTGGTAAAACTGGGTCACATGTCATGAAAAATCAGGTGATATCCACTGACCATGCCAGTGTTCGCGCTATAGCCATTAAAATTTCTGAGTCCCAGGGATGCAACCCATTTGAAAAATTTGAGTCCCCATCTAATTTTTTGCGTCCCGCTCTTATTTCTTCACAGAGTTCAAGAAAATATTGTGAAAATAAAGTGGGCGATAATAGAGTGCTTACACTAAAATGGGATAAAAATGACATATATTGTAATTTGATGCATCCTCCCGATAAATACCTATCACTGGGTCCTTTTCATACAATTCTTAAGTAATGTTATACCATAGTCCGAAATGAATAAAGGAAATGTTCAAATTAAGAATTCTGTTTTCACATTTTACAAACTTGCGATCTTGAAGGTCATGTCAAGGTCGTGAACTTTTGCTTCTTTTTTTTAACATTTCTCCTTATTCTGAAGACTTTTAGATGAAAAACCTCGATCTATCATTAAACAATTATCTTGATGTATAACATTAGATCAATATATAATGGTTTCTAGTTGAAATAATAAAGATAATCGTGAAAAACAATCGTTTCAATTTGTGGGGAACCACAGGGGATTTCTGCAATATTGTATGTTTTGATCTTCCATTTCGATTGCGGCATTTTCCGGAATATATCGGAACCAATCAAAATCCATGTCTCATACTGGAAACTCTGTTAATCTTCTGTAGTCATGATAGCCAATCAGATTTGTCGATATAAACATACCTGGATCATTGCTCGTATATCAAGGTAGTGATCTTGAAAATCTTGATGAAAATCATGTTTCACCGCTACTGTGCTGCAGTAAAAGTTATCTTGAAGCAGTTTATAATTTTTGCGTCCTAGGGACATAAGTTGATTTTGATTTTTACGTCCAACCTTCTGACATTTCCGTAAAAATGGCGAAAAAACGGCGTCAACGCGAACACTACCATGCTCATCAAATTAGACAACCAATGAAAAACTAGCAACATATTCACTGCTCCCAGGAATATTTCAAGGATTAATATAAAATCAATCTTCATCGAACTCATGAATTTAATTTTAAATTTTGATTTCAGACATCACATGGGAGAAAAACTGCTCATTGACACTGCCAAGGATATTGATGTTCCGAAAATGGCGACAGTGTCCTCCCTTTACAATACACCTATCATCAAAAACCACATTTTCCGTAACTACAACTTACCCTCTAGTGCCCTCTCCCATTATGTTGGTAGTTGTCAACACAAGGTATGGCAGTCCATCCGGGCATCCTCAGCTGCTCCCGGCTACTATGAGGAGTGTAAACTGGGCCAGTATATACACAGGGTAAGCATCAAGTTTAAACAGTAAAACTGTGTACAGGGAACACACTCTGTACTGGCCAAAACTGTTCCCTGTAGACAGGTGTTAATTTGACTGTGTAACATGTAAGGCAAAAGAAAAAATATTTAAAAGCTGTTACCTGTAGAGTGGCATTTCCAGCAGGAGATATGTTCCATTATCCATAGGACGGGTTTTACTGTATGTAGATTTCTAAATGCTTTCTGTAGTGTCCGTAAATCATAGATTAAACCTGGATTATTCACGTCTAATAATAATCATTGTTTTTACACAGGATGGAGGTCTTTTCTCAAATAATCCAACTGCAATAGCGCTCCATGAGGCTCAGCTATTGTGGCCCAACACAGACATCCAGTGTGTTGTCTCACTGGGAACTGGAAGGTGGGAGCCACAGGTAGAGAAACTGGGAGAGTCTTTAAGTCTGAGACACCTGACTGATAAGTTTATTCAGAGTGCCACCGATACTGAAGGTATGTTCAGGGAAAGAAAGATTGGGAACAACTAAATTTTCTTAGCAATTTGACTTTATATTGAAATGTTATTGGTGATGTCTGTAGAATTAAATTCATGTGAATTAAGTTTTTGTAATATTACCACTTTAACTTCTATTTGTAACATAACCACTTAAGCCTCTGTTTCTGTTTTGCCTCCATTTCTTTGTAATATTACCACTTTAACTTCCAGCTGTCCACACAACTCTGCAGGATTTACTCCCAGCACAAACTTACTTCAGATTTAACCCTTTCATGGCTGATGACTTTCTCCTGGATGAAAATCGGCCCGAAAAACTTGATCTTATTCAGAGAGATGCCAGAACGTACCTCGAAAGAAATGATCATAAAATCAAGCGTGCGGCTCAGCAATTGCTGCAACCGAAAATGTTCCACCAAAAAGTGAAAGATTATTTACGTGAAAAGAAGGACACATATCTGTGAATTTTTTAGTCGATTTAGTCACTTTCACGATGGGTTATTTAGGCCATATTTTGCCCAAAATGACTGCATGATTTGAAAACCACATTGCCAATATATAGCTCTCGCATCAAAGGATTTAATATGTATTGCTGAATTGCATCATAGAGCAACTGGTCCCAAAGTTATTGTGGAAACACAATTTGATTGTGACATGACACTGGTACAAAAATATTTTGACTCTTGGGCTAACTTTATTTAGGTTATATTTCATTTAAAATCTAACTACACTATTGCAATTTAAAGGGAATACCACAGCTAAATCCATATATTGTTTCATTCATTTTCATAGAATAAACTACTGTTTTTGTGTGGTAAAATGTAAAGATCTTTGAAGTGAGAGCTATCTATGGAACATTTTTAAAGCACTGATTTGGCTAAATTTTATACCTAAATATCCCATCGTGTTCCCCATTACATTGCAGTCTTGTATCAAGTCCCTGCTGCTTCCTCTCCCCATCTTTATTTTCCCTTATTAGCATAATTGAGAGAGAGAATAACATGATGGCTTGATGCAAGATGATATGAGCTAATGATAAAACATTGACACACGCATACAGTGTGTGTATTTAGTGCAGTATGAACATTAAACCGGTAATTTTAGTATTTAGTACTATAATTTGTTAAGATTTTCATCTTTAAGTTGTTTTGTTTTTTTTTTATTAAAAGTTTGTTAACATAAGAGACACCTGGGAGTGTATAGCTTATCACAAGCTAAAAATACTGTCTTGAAATTGGAAGTGAAACATGTAAGAGAACTAAAATAATCAGCATAGATAAAACCTTACTTGCCAAATATTTGGGTTGTGTGAGTTCATATTCATACATACATATATAATATGAATGTAAATGAATATTAAGGTAGCCTGAGTAAAATGAGTAATCAACCATTATATGAACCTGGCCATAGGAAAACCGGTCTTATCACAAAAATTAAAATTGTGCTACAGAGCCAAAAATATGCCCAAGATTAAGAGGAAAATGTGCTAAATTCAAATCCGATTTTCTGGTCTATATATGCCGGGAAAAATTGTTAAGACACAAGCCATGGCTCATTGGCAAGGTCTCTTTGTGCTTTTTAAGATAATCAAAAAATCAAAATATTGAAAAAATCTGTGATAAGACCCCTTTTCCTGTGGCCTGGCTGATATACTAAATACATTGTACTAAAAATGTTTTCCAACCTGAATAATTATATCCACATGTTGAGAAACATGATTATAAAAACAACTGAGTAATATTTTTTGGGATGTATACATGAAATGACTATGAACACAAGTTCAAAATCAAGGTATTTTATTAAAATGATGCGGAGATGAAATTTCCCTACAGTTGTAATTATTTATCAACTTTTTCTGAATTTGCGTAATTGAATGCGTAACTTAATCATCATACAATGACGGCTGACCAATTCACTCTCTTTGATCAAATAATTTTAGGCTTTATCAAGAAATGAGGTTTCCTTTAAAAAGTGAGTGCATTATCTAATCTATGCATTTATGTTTTGTTGGATAGAAGCTTATGTTGAAAAATGCATTTATTAAGCCATACTGTATGTAATATATCCCAGGTAATATATTTAGTCTTATTTTGCCAAACTTCAAGAAAAAGCTTTGGTACGGGTATTTATATGAATCTTACAACAATAATGTTTGCCAAATGAGTCCAATACATGTAGCTTTGCAAAAACGTGTATTTTAGGTTGAAGTATGCAATGAATATGTTTTAGTGATATCATATGATATCGAGTGAACTTGAATATTGGACTAGCAGCATTTTTGAGTACTTAAAATCTGTATACAGACTCCATTATATACCTCCAATTTAATTGTTCTATTAATATTTAGTTTTTGTTGTGAGATCATTTGTGACTGGTGTTTGACATTTGGTATCTGTAACAAGGTGTTACACTTTTGAAATTGCAACCAAGTGGTGAAATTATTGTAGCATCGTCAATTGCTAAAGTTCAAAATGTAAATGATGGATGAAGTTTATCCAAATATTATGAGTCTCTGTAAATCTATAAATCCATTATACTTGTATTATGCAAATATCATAAATTATCCTCAAATGTGTTGCAGTTTTGCTTATATTAATGTTTTATCGTATGATCTGTAAAATGAAGCCCTCTGATTGGTCCGTTCTTGTGCTGTACCAATCTGTATTGCTACTGAGACTGTCCCCATTGATCATCTCCGTCGCAATACAGAAAATATTGGTACGGAGGGAACAATCTCAGTAGCAATACAGAGGATCACGCGATAAAAATGTTATTGAATCATTTGAAGTGCAATACAGGATATATTCTGTCTCAATATTCTGTATTAGCACTCGACTTCGTCTTGTTCCAATATAGAATTTTTTGAGCAGAATATATCCTGTATCGCACTTCAAATCATTCAATGACTTATAGTATTGTACTTAATCTAGAAGATTTCCGATCACTTTTCATGTTTATAATGATCAACATTTTTGCCAAAGTTTCTTTAATTGCTAGAATCATATTAGTACTGTCCATAGATAAAGTATAATGTTAGAATGTTTTCTTTGGGAGTTCCTCATTATTTCAAATTATATAGTACTGTAAGCATGATTTATTTGGCATAAGTGTTCGTTTGGAAGTTTAACATTGAGAAATTATCACCAAATTATCATTTGTCAATTTCCACATTTGGCGAACACTTTTTGAAATCCGTTGTTAAAGATATGCCATAGGAAAAAGAAATACTGTTGATGCCAAATATGTACAATAAAATGTGATCGCCAAATTAAAACATGCCAATTAAATCCTGTTTACAGTAAGTATTTAAGATTCTCATACTACCCAGAATAGTATATGAAGTGTATTGACTGTGTGAAATAATGTACATTCATTTTGAGATAAATGTGCAATAAAATTAGGCATTATAAAAAGTAACTTTGACTTGTTCATGTGGGAAAGGAGGGAAACATCCTAGTCATAAAGAGATGGAAGATTGATCTATTTTACGAGTATGTATATGGACCTTTCAGATAAATCCTGCCACCTTTTAGCTAGTATTATTTGCCAGTTTTTGTCCATTCTTGGATATACAAGTGAACCGATTTGGCTCTTTTGTGGAAAAATGAATAATTTCATTTTATGGTGTTATAAAACATCTTCTTTTTTTTGATACACTTCTATTCCCTGGTTTTTCCATCTCACCACAAATTAAAAGTATTTCAGAAATTGGATTAGTTTATATATTCAATTAACCATTTGCTATATAGCTTTGAAATCTTGCTTAAGTCTCATTTTAATGTGATTTTAAGAAATATGCATATTTTATCACTAAGGATTTACTTTTTCTTCTATTTTATAACATACTTGAATTCTGTGCATACTTTTCTATGAGAGGAACTTTGATTTACAGTTATTTTATTCAATTTCCAAGGATTTTAAACTTTTCTGAAAAGGCTTGGCTAAATCCCCATTGAAACAATGTTAAAACAATTTTAAAAAGTTATTTAAGGTTAACTCACAATCCGAATGTCAACAAGATCACCTATATGTATGCCAATGGAGTTTTACAATAATCCATTCAGAAACATTCAATTAATTATGAAATTAAGTGATTTTCATCAGTTTCCAGTTGTAAATGCTGTATATCTTGCGCTACCAACACACATTTTGGGATATATAGTCTATAACATGGATAATAATTTGATATGGTATCTAAAATGATGGGATACTTTGATAAACTGTGATAAAATGAGACAGTGGGCTATTTTTCTCACTTTTAACGTGGTTTTAATCCACATACCACTGAATCAATGTGCATTTTAATCCACATGCTCTTGAATTTGCCCTAAACACCAATATGCGAATATAGCAGAAATTAGAGCACCTTGAAAAGGGCTTTAACAATATTCATGGGAATCTGCTACTCTTTGGGAGTGGCCATATTGTTATTCTTCAACTTTTTTGTGGACTGTGTTCAGCATTCGGTGTCTGTAAAAATATGGCAGGTGATATTTTGCATGTTAATGCCTTGTCTTCTTTTCATTTTATAATTAACTTTACACAAATATATAATAATTTAAAAACAGAAAAAACAAATTGACTTTGTACAAATTGTTTATTTTAGGTACCTGTACATTGTGTTCCTAGCTAATTACACTAATGTCATAATAATGATAGTACATGTAATAATAATAATGAATTATAAATTGTATGCAATGCAATGCATGTTATATACTTTATACAACCTGATTCAAGAAAATGATATGAACATTTTTGATGAACTTTTAATCGACAAAATAAGATTAATTTTACAGAACAGTAAAAATGTAAAACCTGTATACATTAAGAGCTCGCTACTCCGAACACGTCTCAATGTGAACACATTTTTCCATACCACTTTCTAATCTGGAATAGATTAACATGGATAACATAAAATGTGAACACCCAATAGTTATGGCTGGTTCCAGTGGTCTTCGCATTAGACAGGTTTTACTGTATTACTATAAAATAATAGTCTTATTCACAATCTTAATAGGCCTTTATTTCTACAAAAAGACCTGATCCAAAAAGTAAATCTCGGATTCTTTAAATTAATAATGTGCTCAAATTTTTTATTTTCATCCAAAATGGCATCAGTTTTGTTGATCATAACTAGAAGACCAAATAACAAAAAAATGTTTTTTAAATGACAGAGCTACAATATCAATTCTAATTACATATTGTACAAATATATAAATTATATAGGAAAATACAAATTAAAATACAAGTTTCTCTGCATACGTCAATGCAACTATATAAATTAGAAAGCGGAGTATAGATTAGGACTGGCATACATACCTGAATTTTCATATTTATTATAAAAATTGTCAATTCTAAATTATCAATGTTTTTTTCTCTAAAGATATAATATGCCTCAACTAAAATTTAGAAAGTTGTAACTTCTTCTTCTGATAGTAAAAGTGTAAATATAATATGTGCAAACTAAAATTTAGAAGGGCCAAATTATATTAAGAGTGCATATATGCGGAATAATGTAGGCATTAATCAAGGTTCTATTTCCGATGTCAAATTCTTACACTCAAACTGTATATACAAATCAACCTATTGACTACAACTAAAATCTTTTTCATTTACAAGTAGGAAACATAGATTACCAGTGGTTGAAAGAACATCACAAATAATTAGATAATGAATTTTCTTCAAGAATCTACCCCTCCCATTACTTTCCATTTCCAACTTGATTAAGGAAGGGAATGGGAGGGATGGACAAAGATGTCTGGTGAGACAAATGAATTATAGGCCTATACAAAATACATTCACTTATTAAAGGTTTTCAAGAAATTGCGAACAGGTTTTGATGAAAAGATTATTGTAATTTGACTAAGATCTCAAAAGTGAATTCTGGAATAAAATTAACATTTGAGATGTATTGACCTCTAACTTTCAAATGTGGACACTTTAAAAGGTGAAAATTTGAAATTTGAACAAATGTGAATGACCCATATGGCAAGTATGGAACAAAATGGAATAATCTACACATACTAAAATTGATAATGTTCCTATCTTTCATTTCAATACAACCTTTTATCTTTATTGCATCACTTAAAACAATTCTTCCTGCCTTAGTCCTGTGTGAAAAGCAGATAGACAGCTTGAGAAAAGCGGGCGTTCAACGACCTTGACAAACACGTCATAGTATTCTAAGTGATCTAAAGGTTACTGTAAAGCTCAAATCTTCAATGACCACAATTTTTTTCACTGGTTCAATCAACACTGTGGATTACATATTGTCACTTCAATTATCTTTCATGAGTTCACATATATGGTCAATTTAGATTTCCCAGTTTCAACTGTATTTCACAACAAAACAATCAAATTAATTGTACTTGGTTCCCCTTTTCTCTCGATTACTTGGCAATTCAGGGATTTTTTCCTGGACCCTTTTAAGACACATTTCCAGCATGTTCAGAAAATGCAGCAAATTTAGGACAACTTGAAAATTTGAGTTTTAACAGTACTAGATAGCTAGATAGGCATAGCTAGTTATATAGGGTAAAACATTTATTTACACCCAGTCTTACAAGACCCTCTGCTGATAAAGCACAATGGTGGCCTAAAGCTCTAAATACAGGGTGTACCCCAGAGGGCATCAATCCCCATACAATCCATGCTTTATAGTGGCTCATACAGGGTGTCTCTTTAAACAATGGAACATACTTTTCTTCTGGCATCAAGAATACTCCATCAGTTATACCAAAACTCGGAGTGGAATTTTTGTGTCACCTTGTACATTTTCTTCCTCGGCAAAAATTTGGGATTGCACATAAAAAGTGTATTTCAGTGAAAACCTCTCAGACTAATGTATTGCAAGTATTTATGTATTGGAAACTATTTCCTGAAACAAGGGTTAACCACATAGCGCATTAGACCACCACAGGCTATATCAGCTATAGGGTTAATATATATTATATACAGTGCCTCTCATCAATCCAAAAACCAACAAAATTCTAATTTTGACATTCAAGTTTAGATGTGACAGTTTCACATCATAAAGTCATTTCAAATAAAGGGGATCGATCATTCAGAGAGATTGGGCATTCAGAACTATAAAACACAAGAGGGACTGGTCATTTTGTTGGTTTTAGTAACTTCATGAAATACTGTTTTCCTACTACATGAGCAGCACAATGCCCATTGCACATTTGTCTAGTGGATTTTGTACAATATAAAAAAACTTTGGCTTCATTTTCATGTCTCATCCAACTATATCATAGTATTTACAAACGATGGTGAACAATATTTGTGCAAATAGTAGTGTGATTGTAACAAAATACATGTGCTACATGTAATACTTGAACACAAAAAAACTTCACATAATGAGCTTGAGATTCTAAATTGCAGAAGTTTTGAATTAAAATGTACTTCATGTACAAAACGAGGTGATAAGATAATAATAAATATAAAATGAATATCATCTATGGTATAATTGGACAGGGGCGCATGCTGATGACAATTAATTCAACTGACTAGCAATAGCTATACAATGTCTGAATCAAACATACATATATGTAACATTTATGTATTTGACCTTGACCTTTAAATATAATTCAGGTTACACATATGTAACAACTATGCACTTAACCTTGACCTTTGCACATCATTAAGGTCACACATATATAACATTTATGCTTTTGACCTTGACCTTTGCAAATAATTAAGGTTACACATATGTAACATCTACTTAACATTGATCTTTGAACATAATTTAGGTCCCGGATATCTATCTTCCATGAATTTGACCTTGACCTTTGTGCTTGATTCAGGTTTAATATAAACCAGTATCTGAGATATCAAGTGAGTCAATTACATATTATCCCATGCATAAAATGACAATCTGATCCTAAAATTCAACTGCACAACCATATGACCACAGTGTCATTTCATCCATGGGTTATACTAGTTATATATACTAGTAATGAAATATAAGAAGTTTCAGAAGTATTGAATTCAAACCAATCATGACTGCTCCTCATAGGCTATACACCAATTCTAAAACTTCAATTTTCCTATAGTCTATAGAGTTAAGATGTAAATTATGATGATTTGAGCTAATGATTCTGGACCACGGATGTTCGCATATAGTCAAAAACATAAAAATCAATTCAAATTTTTTCTCTACCCCTCCCCCTTTATTTTCTTAAACAGGTATGAATAAGAAGGGAGGGTTTGTCTTTAGTTTACATTTATGGCAATGTATGGCTAACAGGAAATGAAAATATTAATCTCATAGGTGCAAATACTAGTTTTTCTTACAATACAATACTTCAATGTTGGTAAATTCTCAATTGTACTCATGTAATCTCATATGAGCATGGCGGGTCCTATTTTTTCATTCTTTCCAAGATCACATTTTCTAATACATAACTCAGGAGTGCATATTAAGAGCTTGGTAAACACCAAGTTTTAAATTTTCTTGACTGAGAAAAAACAACAGTTAACATTGTCGTCATGACTACTGTCAGTCATGTAGCCATCCCTCTATCTCAATCTCCCATCTGTCCAAACTTTTTTTCGGGGGGGGGGTGTCAAGAGATAGAGGGATGAACATGAGACCTTCAAGCCAAGACCAACATGTAAGACACAGTCATTAGCAGAGCCTCAAAAAATGTTTGGTGTTTAATGCAATAACATGGACCAATTGTCATTAATTGGCCTATTTTTGTAGCTCTGCTAAAGACTGCCCAGTTGTCTTAATAACCCCGAATGCATTGTATGGCTATGAGTAGAGAACACTGACATTACCGTGACAACAATACATACAATAAACTAGCTATGATTATAGGTATGGTTTGTATATGGAGGCCACTAGCACCATTATTGTCATTTGCGCTAACTGGACCTACTGGAGCACCAGTTTCTGTGTCAACATTATTGTCTTCTGGTTCTGATTTAGGGGTGGTTGTAGGAGTTGTTTCTGGAGTTGTTTCTGGTTCAGACGTTGGTTCAGTTGGTTCTGGAAAATAGATTGCAAATACTCATTAGTACTATGATGCTCCTTTTTCTAGATATAGGTTTCAAAGTGTTCTGTACTTTTCTAGACATTTTCACCGACTTAACCTCATCAAAAAGACTTTACAGTCAAAAACACAAGATGTTAATACACCAGTCTAATAAGTCATGCCTCGTATTGGTTGCGATGTCAATCTTACTAGCCAATATATCCCAGTTTCCATAATTCCCTTCCCCAATAGGGGTCAAGATTCATGGGAAAGATCTTTTCTGCCAATGATTTAAGTTCTCAATTTTAAATTTTTTTTCGAATAGAATCAATGATTGCAAAGAGAAGGTTTATGTCTTTAATTTTTTTGACTGTAAGCTCCATAAGATTATGGAATAATTTAGGTGTATCTTACATGAGGATTACAGCTATTAGCCCTTAAAGCCACATTCACATTTACTCTAAGGCAGCCGTAACTTCACAAATTTGATGTGGAAAATCTACATTGTACTGCTATATTTTTATGCTGCATATTTCTCTCAATTTTGGGAAGCTACGGCTGCCATATGATCAAATGTAACCGAGGCATTAATTTTAAAAATGGACCATATAAAAAAGCACAATGAACATACCTGTTGGTGGGGTAGTTGGCTCAGGTGTGGCTACTTCATAAGGTGGCTGTTCTTCGCTCTCCTCCTTTTCATCAGTGTCAATGAGTGGGGGAACAACATCAGGTTCCATAACACAGTCAGCAGGATCCACTGTGGGGCATTGGTAGTTATTGTTTGTTGCAGATTTACCTGGAGAAAATTGGTCATTTTGGTTTATAGATCTAATATTTCTTTAACCTGGTTTCAATTCAAAATCAACAACACATTAATTCCTAATCCAATACAACCTTTAATGCAAGTGACACATCATAATATCACATGTGTATTATAAGATGAAGTATGTTTAATTTTACTAAGTTAGATGTTATATCAAACATAAGCTAATTCACAAACTTCTACTGTTTATGAAGAATTTATATTGCAATTTTCTAAAATGATACAATCTAAATGTTGAGTTTTAATAGATATCTTCTTGTTAACTAAGCATATGTCAGTCAATTTGTGTCTTATATAAAAGATAGGAAGATCAAGGGAAGGTAAGAGGGGAGATGAAGGGAGATAAAAAATAAGGAAACAACAACATCTTAGTAAAACAATTTACCTCTGGGGTAACGAAGTTTCACTCCACATGCTATAAGAGCCTCTTCTAAGTCATATTCCTCGTATTCACGGTTTGCAGGTACTAGCTTGCCATCCCTGCGGTTCAGCATAACTAGGTAGTTTTTGTTGCGCTGCAACTGGATTTCAAAGCAGATACCTGGTTTTAGTCCTGCAAATACAAGTAACAAACTTTGAAATACAAGTAACATATTTTGAAATTAACACCTTTTGTACTTCAAAATAGTGTTAATTTGGGCCATATTCCACAAACAGATGTTAATTTTACATTTAAATATAAAATATTGTGAGATGCATTTGGCAAATGTATCCTTTGAAATACATATAGAAGTACTAAACACCAGAAGTGATAACATAAAAAGGAAACTATGCATTCTATAGTGAAACATTGTTCACAAAGATGGCAGCACAAACTACTTTCCTCATTGAAAAACAAATGTATAATGCTCCCAAGAAGTGAAGTCCCTCAAGAAAAATATCAACAAACTTGAGTTGATAATACTCCTGAATTCCTAGATAGTGAATATCAGTGGTCTTAGAAAAAAGGAACCTTTTGGGATAAGCAATAAGAGATGTAAAAATAACTTTTATGGAATAACTCTTGACTTGTTAATGGCATGCTCCCAGGGTCAAAAGTTAAATGGTGATAAAATCTACAGATTTCAAATGAGAAGTCAAGTAGCAAGAGTAAAGGGTGAAAAGTCTAATTCACATCTCTGAAAAATCAACATGGGTTAGATAACTGGTCCATATAAACAGTCAGAGCATTAAATCAATGTTGGGCACTTTTTCGTCACTGTACATAAGACTGTAGTCCTGAAAGCAGTTGGAAAGTTAAATTAAGAACTTTTAGCTTTAGGTGTAAAATACCAATGTAAAAGATAGCATATTAGCCAACATAAAGTGTTTTAAGCTACTATGTTTTTATCACTCAGCTGACAAGTCTATATCATATATCCCCTGGTTAAACTGTTAAAATCACAACTTAAAGTTCACATATGTTAATTGATGAAAATGATGACAAATGATGAACAAAATGATGAATAAAGTGAATTCCAATAAACAACCTGTACATTACAAATTAAATAAACTAACTTCTTGCTTATTAGGTTAACATAAAATATAAAATAAGTAATTATGATTTCTGTAATAAATTGCAAGGGATTCATTACCAGACCCTGACATGAATGTTATATTCTCATTCATCCAATATTTGTGTGATCTCAAAATGGGAGAGCAGACACACTTGATTTGAGAAATAATTGTAATAACCCGAAGCTCACACTTTAAGATCTTTCTCATTGGCATAGCCAGTTTGAGGCAAGTGCCTCACCATTGTCTCATCAACACTGCCTCACCAACATCTTTCAGAAATATATTTTTTGAGAGATTTATGCCTCCTTTACCCTGCCTAATTGTCTACCTATACCCCTGTTTCTAGCACAAAATCATAAAGCACAGGAACACACATATTGCTCAACTTCCTTTTAAAGAGACACATGCTGATTTCCAAAAAGCAGATGGCTGGCTGGTATAGTGAACACACATTGGCTATATATTGAATATATTGAACCTAAAACTTGACTTTCAAAGACATATGTGAAAATATGTGATTTCAGTGTATAGTTTTGCTACATGTCCCTATTCCCCTCTCCCCCTATCCATATCATGGTAGAAGGGGAAAGGGTGGTTTTATGGGCTCTGAATACAATACTACTGAGTACATACATACACCCTCAAATATGTTGATGATGTTTGACCTAAAGACATTTGTTTAAAGCTCATCATACACTTGTATATGTTACCTGTGTCAAAACATATCACATCAAATTATGGCTAACATTTGACAGATTATTCCCATCCCATTCCGAAATGAGATATGGGAGTTCATAGGATTAAGTAGGTCAAACTTTAAGATCATTTGGGGAATTCAACTTAAAAATTCATGAATAAGTAACAAGGGTCTTTAAATTAGATTTTTAAAAAAATATGACAATTATAATCAATGAAAGCAAACATAAATATCCCATATAAGGACATTTAGTGACATATATGTATCTAAGGTAACACAATAATTATATTTATATTAAAAAAAACGTCTTCATATTGCTGACAACCACTTATTTTTCAAATCAAAAGTGCACGTTTTTTATACATATAAAATTGAAAAATGCAATTTTGAACCAGAGTCAATATGGGTCGAGTAGATGATTATATTATTAGATTGAAGTACTCATTAGTGTACTGAATCTTTTCAAAATAGAACTTTTGAGTAGTTTGACCAGTGACCTTATCAAAATATGATTGGAAAAGGTTCAAAGGAAATACTATTTGTAAACATTTGATAAACATTTTTACAAACATATAATTATATTCATACTACACTGGCGATCAACTCGATTAAATACTCAATTAATATTCACTTCATACGCTTTTTTTATATCTGAAAGGAGTTTCATTACAATCATGTCTATAACTACAAAATATGAGGAAAACAGTGGAATAGACAAGAAATAATGTAAACAGACTTAGTGTCTATATTCTAAATTATATAGAAATGCAAGAAAAATGTGCAGTCCACTCAAATTTCAGAGAAATTAGTGGAATCAGCAAGGAATAAATAAACAGAAATGTACAGTAGTATACACTCTATATTTAAAGTAAATTAAAAGAACTTAGAATACAATATAAATATGAATTTCATTTTAAAAGATAAATAGAAAAGTTCAATTTTCATTTCATACTGTCATTGAATAGGCAATCTACAGACAGAATTTTATTGAATATTGGTCTTTAATTGAAAATAAATTTTTTCGAGAAAGTGCAAAAAATTGTGGTCAAAAGTAATACAAAAAGAGTATTTTTTATCATCTTCAAGAACCACAAAAATGTATCTTTAATACTATTTCCCGCCCCATGCAAATATTTCCTCTGAGTAGAATCCTGTTTCATTAAACACTAAAATAAAATGAATTTATGACATTTATGACATATTTTCATAAAAAAAACTTTCAGTCAAATACTTCATTCTTTAGGTATTGTCGCTGCATGTCAAAGGAAATCTCTGCTAAGTCCAATTATTATGATGTTATCTAGTAGCATGGCAACTTATTCCTTTAGGCTATTTTACCTGTCTGTCATGTATTTACTAAATAGCTTTAAAACATCTCTTTGAAGTATGTTCTAAAGCACATTGTAAAAACATATAGACTTGGCTAGGGCCCCACAATGAAAGAGATAAGTTGTAATAGGACCCATTGTATACATTTAGTCAGATAACAAACTACAAGATGTGTAAAACTGAAAGCATAAACTAGGCTTATCATTGGCTTTACAAGAAAATTTGTATACAACATCTTTGAAGGTCAAGACAGACATATTGAAGTCAACAGATCAGCTACTCTTCTTTAGGCACCCATTTAGGCCTGTGACCCCCCCCCCCCCGCCATGCCGCCTGTAACCCCCATCTATATCACATATCTACAAAGTTTCAGAAAAATGGGAGAAGGGGTGGCAAGTCCTGCATTCTAACTTGGAAAAATCCTCAGAGCTTATTCATATAAGGCAGACTTGTGAACCTTAAATTACTTAAGTTGACAATTTCCATATTCAAATGTATAACATTTCACCATGTTCAATGTTTATATGCAAATGTATAGTAGCAAAACCTGCACAAACTATTTATCTATCATCACTGTCTAACCCAATATGGTATCTATTTCCAGAACTGACAGGCCAGCTTTCTTAAATATTTACAGTCCATGAAATATACTGAACATTTCACTCAAGGCTTGAAACAACACACATTGGTGGTTTCTAAAGTCATTATTTATTCCTTTAGTATCATTTGAGGTCAGATATAAGTCTATCAAATGTTTTATCTCAACCAAGCACAATCAAAGTTTGGTTGTGACAGCCGAGCACAACCAAACACAATTACATTTTGGTTGAGACAGCCAAGCACAATCGAATGAAGTTGTTTGAAAGATGTATCCTATCAAGAGAAATAGAGAGCAATGACCAGAATGAAAGGTCTGTAAATAAAATTTCGTAAATAATATTGAAATCCAAAGAAACATGTCTGGTCAAAGAAAAAAAAAAATGACCCATTTTTCATAACATGGGACAGCTTGCCAGGTTATTGTATTACTGACATGCGCCATATTAGAATGACATCACTGTGATGTCAGCTATACGTAGTGATAGGATTACAAGCCACCATGCTGCTGGTAGGAATGATATATTGATATAACTCAGTGGTCATAATGTACAAGATGAACTTGATGAACAATGTGTCCCTTTCTCCCACTCCATCATAAAAATTTGAGCATTAAGAGGTTATTTTGGGCCACATTTCTCCACGAAAATGTCACCCTTCCTTGTAAATTTCAAAGGGTTTTCATCACCACCCCTCATTGCTTCCACCACTTCCAAAGCTTGAGATATAATATCCTTTGTTAAGAATTAGGAGATGGAATGATTGAACATACATTAATCTAATGTTATAACACATGACGAGAAGCTGATCTTTAGTCTTAATGTCCCAATCTAAACATCAATACAAACACAAGACACTGTGACTTTTTGTTAAAGATATTTTATAAAGGCACCATTCACACAAAGGGTAAAATGCAACAAGTTACTAATATCACAAAATGTCAACACCTCACCTGGTAATTTCAAATAGTTACAAATGTGTAACATTGTTACAGACCCTGAACATCAACTGAGGACCACCCAATCCCAACTACTGGTCACACAAAATGGAAGCCATTAGAATATGTCACTATATGTCTTGGTGATGATGTGAAAATATAATGAAAGCTCAGTATAAACACACAGTAATTTGCAATAAACCATGTGAACTTCATTTTCCTCTTTGTCTGTAGGAAGCATGAAGAGATTAGTCAATGAACTCTATATAACCACTGGCTCAACTTGATACAATTCTGGACTTGGTAGGTTCTCCATAAGCAGCATGAGTTTGTTAGAATAGCAGATCTATGGTTACCTTGCCAAAAGGAATGGTAGCCCATCAGTGAAATGTCCAAGTTACCATGTCTTGAAATAAAAAGCTGTAGTGAAATAGAGTGGAACTGCATAGAAATAAGGTAGCCATAGATTAGCTGTTTATTCCAAATCACATTAAAC